TGGTTGAGTCTCTCGACTTTGGATCCAGGCGAGTGCAATCTGACTGTCACTCCATATGTGACATTCTGCGTCAACTCCTTGAAGTTGTTTCATCACGAATGTTTTGGCGCGAACTCCTATGAGTAAAGCAAGAAGTTCAAGTCGAGGTACAGTAAGTGATTTTCCAGCTGCCTTAGGGCACAGACGGCTCTTTGAAAAAATCAGGTGACAGTTAACTGAGCCTCCAGTATCAGTCCTCAGATATACAGTAGTAGCAAAGGCCGCAGTCGAAGCGTCTGAAAAAATATGCAGCTGGAGGGTCCCATTCAGTCCGTGAGTGCATCTACGAGGTACATAAATGACTTGTTTGTTCCAGGCTGTGGTTATACTGTCCCATTCGGCGACATGTTCTTCACAAAGCTGTGAGTCCCATGTGATTGATTCTTGCCACAGCCCCTGGGCAAATAGTTTGGCTCGAAGCAAACATGGAGAGATCAGTCCAGACGGGTCGAAAATAGAGTGGATCACTGAAAACACAATCCTTCGTGTCGGATGAGCACTCGGTACTGCCGGAAATTCAAACACGAGTTGATCCTTGACGGTGTCCCACTTCAGCCCCAAGAACTTATTGAGTGGTCCTTCAAGCTTATCATCGGCTGGTAGTTGACTGTTGACTTCAATTGAATTGGATACGAACTCTCTAATGTTCATTCCAGCCTTTTGGTAAATTTCCTTGACCTTGTGGTACTGGTCGATTGCGTCTTCGGGTGATTCGCAGGCAAGTAGTTGATTGTCGACATATAAGTTGTCAATAAGAGACTTTGCGAAGTTGCCACAGGTTTGTAGGTGATGACGAACAACAGCTGCGAGGATGAAGGGTGATGAAATGACGCCAAAGCCGACGACGGCGTAACGTCTGATGAGTAGATTGTCCGGGCTCAAGGGCTTGTTGAGGTCCTTAAGCCATAAAACTTTGCACACTTCTCGGTCGATTCCAGGCTCAAGGTAGATTGACATGAAGGCTTTCTCTAGATCTCCGACGAGAGCAATTGCCGGAAGGCGAAAACGTAAGAGCACTCCCACAAGGTCTGGTAGGAGCACTGGTCCACGGTAGAGACAATCATTTAATGAAGGTTGTCCTCGAGCATGAGCGCTTGCGTCAATCACGATTCTTAATTTGTGGGTAATCACTGGGTGGTGAGGTAAATAGCATTCCACTCCCTCTGGGTTACGTGCGGCTGGTTCTAACATTCCTCTTGAAACTTGTTCTTCGAAGATTTCATTGTACTGCTTCAGAAGGTCGGGACGTGCCTGGAGGTTGCGAAGTACAGACGCCAATCGACTGTACGCCATTCTGAAGTTTGACGGTAGTTGCGGGTTTGGGTCAACCCATGGCCATCTGACGGTGTAATGTCCATCGGGCCGCTGATTGATTGCCTGTTCAAATAGTAGGACTGCTTGTTCATCATCATTTTGCGTAGGGTCTTCTTGTATTCCAATCCCTTCAAGACTGAACCACTCCTCGATGACATTCCTTGAGGGCATTTGGTCCTCATTACTTGGGTGAACAGCTACCATTGTGACTGATTTGTTTGGTTTCTGGTGACGAAAGGTCGATTCTCCTCCAAGCATTTTACCAAATACGGTATCAATAAGGTAGAGTCCAGGCGAAATTAACTTCCATGAGATTAGATACTTCCAGAACTGGCGAATTCCAATCATAATTGCCGGTGCTTCGTGTGACATTGTAACTGCTTCTTTTAAGTCCATTCCTGGTATGTATTGTATGTTGTCGTCCCAGTTGACTGTTGAAAACGGATTTGTTATCTCTGGTACGCGGTTGAGCACACAGCTCTCCCAGGATCCGTCTGAACATTGCAGCTTCAGCTCATACATTGGTGAATGGAATTTGAGTGGGTCGGTCAAAGAGCCTCCAAATGCCTCGACCTCCATTTGTTCGGCACCAACCCGTGGTGGATGTAATTCATCAACGAGAGCTTTGGTTATGTAGCTGGCCATACTCCCTGGATCAAAGAGCACACAAACATTTTTCTTGGTTCGACGTCCTCGTGACGTGGCAACTATATGACGGGTGAGCAAAAAAACATTTTTTCTGGTTGTCCCACTAGTGTGTAGGCTAAGTATTGAATCTGATGCTTCAACTTGTCCCTCTGAGGGTTGTTTTGCTTTGTGTTCCTCACTGGCAAATGCAACTGTAGGTTTGAATGTCTTCGGTTTTGATCTCGAGCTACGCGCCTTGGTTGGTTTGGTTTGTCCTTGTTGATTGCTGTGACTGCTTTTCGTCTCCTGTTGATAGTTTCGGTTCTCCACAGCTTTCTGGCAGACCAATAAGTGATGAGGTCCTCTGCATCTGTGGCAGGTCCTTTGGTTGCGACATTCACGTGCTTTGTGACCCTCTCGAAGGCATCTGATACAGCGGTCCATCTCGATGAGTCTTCTAATTCTATCCCGTGGGGTTGGATAAACACGACATCGGCTAGGAAAATGTCCAGGTTTGGCGCATAGTGAACAGTTATTCCCTCTAGGTGGGAAGCGTTGTGGTTGTGTTGCTGCTGCAAAGGATCTCACAGTATCCCTTGGTGGAGTTTGAGGAGGTCGCTTCTCCTTCTTGACGTGCGGTGAATCGTCCATTGTATGAACGCAGTGAAGGACTTCTTCCTTCAGGCTAATGATTTCTTGTAGCTGTTTGAGTAGGTCCTTGTAGGTCCATTGCCTCCTTGAATCTTTCTCACGAAGTAGGAGCTCTCGGACTACAGTAGGCGGTAGCTTGCTTCGAATCTGCAACATTGTTTGAGTTGAGTCCGGTGACTGCCCTTGCGACTCAAGCTGGTAACATATTCGGTCCACTGTGTCACTAAATACGCGAAGTGACGTTGATGATTCGGTTGCTCTCGGTAAATGCATCAGTTCAGAAAACAGGTTGTCGACTAATCTCTTTGAGTCTCCAAATCGATCCTTGAGTATACTAAGCACACGTGGATAATTGGTGTCAGACGGTTCATAATGTTCAATTGCTTTGCGTGCTGGTGAATTTGCTGGTAGGCACATTAGTAGGTAGGTGTGCTTCTGAAAATCTGACAGTGTTGGCTGCTGGTCCACTGCCACTGAAAATGCATTCCACCATGTTCTGTAACGGTGAGCTTCTCCATCGAAGCGCGGTAGTTCCAATGTAGGTAGTCGGACGGCTTGTTGTACCACATTGTGTTGATTAACTTGTTGTGCGGGCTGCTGCTGGCCCTGATGACCTTCCATGGTCAGATTGATTAGTTCCACAATTCCTCTTGCTCTTTCGTGTAGGTCCATAAAGTGCTCATGCGGCAAATCCTGTTCGGTCTCTGGTTGCGGCGGATAGTTGTCATAAAGTTCCTCCTCTGCATGTAGAGCATTTTCCTCCAAGTTGTCCATATATTCAAGCCAACGTGTGTTGAGTTCATTCACACGTTCCATTGACGATTCCAGTTGAGTTTTGACCACTCGAAGTCCGTTCGCTGTTGCCTGGTTGATCACTGGTTGATCCAAAAGTCCATTAGCATCTGAAATTCTGTCCCTCATTGTTCGCAAAACAGAAGCAATTGTACGGCGAATTGGTCCTGAAGACGGCATTTCTCTGGTTGTAGTCGACTGCAGTAGGTGAGAGTCGATTAGTTGTATTTGGCTGCGGACGGCTGGTTATAGTCGACACTGACGGTGGTCGATTGTAGTTCACACGGTTGGTTATAGTCGACACTGACGACGGTCGATTGTAGTTGATTCTCACGGTCGATTGTAGTTTCTCACACAGTTGATTGTAGTCGACGCTGAAGGTGGTCGATTGTAGTTGACGGTCGGTTGAAGTTAACGACGGTCGATTGTTGTAGTTGACTCGCACGGTCGATTGTAGTTTACACAAAGTTGATTGTAGTTGCCCGAGGTGGCACGCTGACAGTTGATGTGGGTGCCTTCCCGGCCGTTGCACCACTTTTTGTTGGCAAGGGAGTTTGGGAGTCGAAGGGAGAGCAATAGCCCGTATGAGGATGGGCTATCCACGCACTGCTCTCCGAGCCAAGCCACACAAAATTTATTGGGAAGGAAGGGGAGAAGGCTGGCCACCAACAGTCGACTATTTGAGAGTCGACTATTTGAGAGTCGACTAAAGGGAGTCGACTATTTGAGAGTCGACTAAAGGGAGTCGACTGAGTGACAGTCGACTAATGGGAGTCGACTGAGTGACAGTCGACTAATGAAGGGACAACAAATAAAAGAGCACAAACAAATATAAGTTTATTTCAGCCAAATAATACGCGCACAAATAATATAGTTTAAATGGAGGAGGGTAATAAGAGCAAGGAATAGTAAAAGAACTAATGAATAAAAACTCCAAAAAATTGGATTTAAATAGAGGCTGGCAGGTCTGCCTGGGTGTGGCTTATTCCGACCAACCAGCCGAAAAAAAAGGGGCGGAGCTTATAAAATGTGTGAAAAATAGAAGAGGGAAAGGAACACAAACAAAAGTTTAAATTAAACAATTAGAGTAATAAGACGGGGGGAAACTTGAGTACTAAAATAAAAAATAATAAACTGAACAAAACGTCGCCTTTGGCGACAGCTTTATTTATTGATAAAATGTCCAAAAAACTGGGCCCAATTCTCTGGCCTATTGTTGATTGCCAATTAATATCTAAAGTCGAAATTGTTGGTTTGTATTGGTCTGAAGCGAATCCATAGGGGCCATAATGCATTACAGAACCTATGAAAATATTTAAATTTGAAGTTTGGACCATAAGATCACCACTAGACTTTTAGTGGTGATCTTCTGGACAGAAAATAGTCTATTCCAGAAGATCACCACCACACGGTCAATGTTGATCTTATAGTCCTGTATTTTAAAAAACCTGGATCGTAAGGTAACTTAAAAGTTTCTGCTTGATCTTCATTTACTGGCTGGAAGTTATTCCATCGGGTTAAGGGAATGTTACTTAAACACAAATTTAATTTTTAGATTTAATTCTACAGTAGGAAAATTACTTGTAATGTATAGCAATATGCCTAGATTGATCAGGCCTAGCCTGTTCGTGAAATGTACCTAAAGCGTGCCCAATTTCGTGTGCAATAATTCCAATAAAATCACAGCCAGGGGTTGAAATGGAAATTCCCTTTAAATTTTCAAATTCAAAATTTCTAGGCCTACCCCATAAGATCACCACTAAATATTCAGTGGTGATCTTACGGGCTTGTCCCATTTTTCAATTTTTTACTTGAGTTCCTCCCGTTTTCCCCACAAATGAAGAACATCCTCCTCCATCAAAAAACTCTAAACGATCAACATCCGGACCATTTTCCACAAAAGAAAGACAAGTTTCACTTTCCCAGATGGCCAATGCTTGGCGTATTCTTTGTCTTGACTGTTCAGGCACATTATCAGCAAAATCATAACTTATTGGCCTTGTTTTGTCCCAACGCTTGTAGAAAGGTTCCAAAAAGGGGAAAAATGCGATTTAATTTATTAAAATAATTTAAAATAAATTTTATTGGGGTGTCCGATCTGGCGAGTTACGCAACGTTCAGAAGGGGTGTGGGTTCGAACCCGCTCGGGGTTTGGAATTTTTTAAAACAATTTTAATATAATTAAAAACGTTTACTTTTCCAACTTTTCTTTTAATTCTTTTATTTTCATCATGAGAAAACATTAATTGATCTTCAAAATATTTTTGAATCTTTTCTGCTTGCCAATCAGCCAATTCTAAATCTCCCTTTCAATTTTAATTGAAAATTAAAAAATATTTCTTTAAAATTACTTGAAAATAATCCCCATTTACTCCATTAACTACTAATTCATTATGATGCCTGAGGGCATTTGGATCACGTTGAGGTATTTCTGTGGGGGGTATTGCATCGTTTTGAACCATTTCTCTAAATTTGGAAAGATTTTATACCCAAATGATCAACAAGTAAAAGATCAACAAAGGGAAGTTTTAGAATTTAAAAAGGGATCAACCCATAAGGTCAACTCCCAAGAGCTCAACAATCTAAAGGTCAATTCCCTAGTGGTCAAATGTATAGGGAGGGCAGCTCCAGATATTAGGGTGAATAATGAAGGATTTGTGGAGATTAAGAAAGGGGATTAGAGAGATTAAGGGGCAGAAGTCGGAAACGTATTTTGAGTCTCCCGCCCAAATATTTGGGGTCAAAACCAACAGGGAGTTGACCTCCAAGGGGTTGACCTTACAACTTAGAAAAATACCTTTCAACTTTTTCATTAATTAATTGTTTAATTTTGTCAACAATTAATTTAGAAGCTTTTCTCGTCCTTTCATTAGCCTCATTATAATTAGTCATCCATAATAATAAATAAAATAAAAAAATAAGAAAGAAATGATTAAAACTTTTGCGCATTGATTTAAACAAAAAATGAAAGAGAGGGAAGGGTTTAGGAGATTATTTAATCACCATCTTCTTTTAACTAATCAAAAATCATAGAGCTATTAAATATTTATCGATATATCTTGAGGCGTTTTGGGGGAAAATGGACAACTTTAATTTAATAAAGGGGGTTTTCTGGGTAAAACCCATCCCAGTTCCGGCACCTATAACTTATGAAGGGGTTAATAATTTTTGGTTTTCTTGATACCATTGGATAGAGAATTAAACAGGCTACAAGATACCAAAAAATCAAAATTTTAGATTGAGTGATAAAAAAGTTATGATCGATAAAGTGCCAAAAAATCACATGTTTTTTTGAAAAAGTTAGTTTTAAAATCATAACTTTTTTTATAAATGGGTCGAAAATTCTGATTTTTTGTTATGTTGTAGCCTGTTTAATTCTCTATTCGATGGTACCAAGATAATGAAAAAGTGACCATCCCTTCACGAGTTATATGATCGGGAATGAACTAAGCCGGACTGGGCAGAACTGCTTCGATTTTTTAGTACTTGGGGGTATTTAAAAGTTTAAATTAACAGATTTTTTTTAAAAACTAAAAAAGTTTTTTTCTAATAAATTGAAAAACAAACTCAAATTTTTAATTCTAAACGATTAAAAACATTAATTAACTCCTATAGCTCTAAAAAAACTCGAACCCCCAGTGCATAACTACTATTTTCATTTGCTAGCCTAACACACTACCGACTAAACCACCGAAACCTTAAATAATGTTTCCTTTTAAAAAGCTTATAAAATGCTATCAAATTATTGTAAATTTTGTATTTTAATAACAAAAAAATTTTTTTTTTTGAATTTTAACAGTTTAAAAATTTGAAAAAATTTCAAAATTTTTAAAAATTCTTTCAAAAATTTTTTTAAACAATTTATAACAAAAAATATACTTGTCTTTCAATTTCCAACAATTAAATTAGATACTTTACATTCTTCCATCAATTTTTGTATAATTAATTTATTTCTTCTCTTCCTAATTAAATCAAAAGAATTTGGGAATCTCACAATCATCGACTTTATTTGTTTTCTTAAAATTTTTGGAAATATTTTTTTCGATTTTTGATTTTCTTCTTCCATTTCCTTTTTATTTTTTTCAATAAAATCCAAAAATAAATCAAAAGCAGCCTCTGCTTGTTTATCACTTAAACGGTGCAAATCAAGCAAAGTAATTAAAAATTCTGTAAAAAAATTTTTGGAGTCGACAGAAGTTTTTTCTGGAAAAAGAAAAATTTGTTAGAGATTTTTTGAAAATTTTTTAAATTAATAAAAAAATTTTTTTTAATTATTTTTGGACCAAATAATTAAATCTAAAATTTTTGCGGACAATATTTGCGGACTTTTTTAATTAAGAAAAAAAATTTTTGGAGTCGACATCAATTTTAAAAGAATTTTCGCATTTTTTTCGAAAAAAGAAATTCCTATTTGTCCAAATAAAATTTAAAAAAATTTTTTTCTTACCAGAAATAATTTGTTCAATTAAAATTCTCCAAAAAAGTGAAAGAAAAGCAACCATTTCATATTTTGACATTAATTTTAGAAGCAAATCGGATAATTGGAAAAGATCAAAATCGTTGATTAAATGCAAAATTGATCTAGAAAAAAATTTAATTTAAGAAAAAAATTTTAAACAATAAAAATCTTGCAAAAAAATGTTTTGAAAATTTCTTGTCCACGAAAAAAATTTGCGGAGAATTTTTGCGGATTTTTGAAAATTTTTTTAAATTTGAGAATTTTCAAAAAAAATTTCGAAAAAAATTTTAAAAAAATATTAAAAAAAAACAAACTTTTTAGGTAATTTACTCAATTCCAATCTTTCACAAATAACATTAGCCGTTTGAAAAGTAATTTCAGCAAAAGGAATTTCAATGTTATAAAAGAGCAATTTTAAAATATTTTTTGCAATTTCATCGTTGATTGAAACATTTACAGCTAATGTACATGAAATTATAATTCCAAAATATTTGAATGCTTCTATTTTTGATCTGGAAAAATAAGTATTAAATAAATTAAAAATTTATTTTTGCGGACAAAATTTGCGGATTTTTAAAACTTTTAATTTTATTAAAAATCAAAGGTCAGGAACAGAGCTATTTTCAAATGGAGATTTGGGGACGGGGAAAAATGTGGGGAAAATAAAAATTTAGAAATTAATGGAATTTTAAATTAAAAATAAATTAAGGGTTGGAAATAATCGGGAAAATTTCTATTACAAAAAAATAAAAATAGGGAGAAAAGAGGAGAAGTGGGACCCTCTAAATTTTCAAAAAATTTCCAAAAAAATTTTTAACAAAAAAAAACAAACTTTAAAGAAATTCCAATAAATGGAATTAAACGAGAAATTAATTGATCATCAATTGTTGCCCCTCTATTTTCAATTAAATTCCCATAAAGTGAAGCCAAAAAAGTAAAATAATGTTGCATATTATTTGTATGTTTTTCTTCCAAAATTTCGACAAAATTAACCCCAAATTTGTTTAGGCAAGTTATTAACCAATAATCACGTCCACTTTGACAGAAACGACCTTAAAAGATGTTTAAAAATTTTGCGGACAATTTTTGCGGATTTCTGACAGTTCAAAAATTTGCGGACACCCAAAAAATGCGGACAATTTTTTAAATTTTTGCGGACAATCTTTGCGGATTTTTGAATTTTTAAGTTAAAAAATCTTTTAAAATAAAAAAAATTAAAACAAACAAACATAGAATATTTAGTGGAATAGGTGCCGCGTCCTTTTGATATTCTTCCAACCAATTCATATCTGGAGAATTAAATTTCAAAATATGTAAAAGTCGACCAAAAGAGTTAATTGAATGGAAAGGCAAAAAAGTTAAAAATAAAGCTTCTGCATTGTATGAATGAATCTTAAAAATTAAATTTTGTTTTCTTGTTTTTTAAGAATTAAAAAAAAAATTAGACTAAAAATTAAATACGCAGCAAAAACATCAAAATTCTCGACTGGGACTCGAACCCACACCACCATAGTTAGTGAGGCAAACTCACTAACCATTACACCACCCAGCAACATAAATACGATCAATTAAATTTAACTATAACCCAAAAGGAATTAATTAAAATAAACCTGAAATTTATGTATAAACCATTCAAGCACTTCCCTACAACATTGGTGATGAAAATAAGGAGATAATAGCAGCAACATTTTCTCGATTTTTTTATCCCATTCAGTATTCTCTTCTTTACTAATTATTGCTCTGTTAAACTTGATTAATTTCTTTTCGAATAATTCGGGTAAATAAGTATCGAAATTGTCATCCAATTTTTTCATTCCAGCCAAGCCAGCGAGGCCTGAAAGAAATTTTTTTTGAAAATTTTTTAAAAATGTTTTTAAAGATTTTTGAAATTAAAAAAATTTTTAATTTTCTAAAATTTTTTAAAAAATTTTGAAATTTTTTAAAAATTTTGAAAAATTTCGAACCCCCCCCCCCTCCCCCCAAAATTTCAAAAAAATTTTTAAAAACCCCAAAAAAAAACAAACCGATTTTATAAAAATCATCCTTGTCATAACTTCCAGCTTCTTTTTTGTTAAATAAAAGTGAAGAATAATCCCGTTCTACAGCCAAAGCACGTGTTGGGGCTTTTTTAAGTTTTTTGAGTTGAGTTGAAAGTGAAGTCATTTTTATTATTTTAGAATTAAAAAAATTGATACTGAAAAATAAACAACGAAAAATATTTCCGCGACAAAACGGATTTCAAAAAATAGCAAAAATTAGAGAAATAAATTTTTCTTTTACCAAAAATAATTTTCAAATTAATTTTTATTTTCTGTTCTATTAAACTCGCTCCAATCAAAAATTGTTTTTGGCAACAAAATTTCTGGAATGTTCCTTTCTCTGTCCCGGCGAGAAGCAACCCAAGTTTCATAATCATTTTTTGATTCAAGTACCCAAGTTATTGCTGTAAATGCTGCACAAGACATTGCCACCAACCTAAATTAAATTTATTAAGGGTTTATTGTTAAAATTTTTAAAGGTCCTCAAAAATCCGCAAAAGTTTGTCCGCAAATTTTTTGTAAGACTTAAAAAATTGGTATTCAGTTTCTAACTTCTCGAGCAATACAAAAGAAGGTCCTGAAGAAAAAGAAGGCCCATGAGAAGTCTTATTATAATTTGTGAAATTTCCCAAAGCTTACAGCAGGGCCGAAAAATTTTTTTAAAACCTAACCTTTTTTTCTAAAAAAACATTTCCCTGTGGCTTAAAGGAGCTGCTGATCCCAAAAAAACAATTTCCAAAATCCTAATTTTGTTTATAAAATATTTAAAAAAAAATTTACGATGCTGCTTTAGCATTCCCAGTTACTCCAAAGACAAAAATTCTTGACCAAAAATAGTTCGAAATCATTGCATAAATTGTTGGGCCAGTTGACGGGTTGGTCGAGTTTGTTACAATTTTCTAAAATTGAAAAGATAAAAAATTCTAAATAAATTTAAAAAAAAACCATTTGAACAATTCCGCTATGGCCAGTTTTTAAAGTCTCTAAAAAATAGAAAATTTTGATTTTTAAAAAAATTAAAAAAAATAAATTGAAAAATACACCAAATATATTTTTAACACAAAATCAACGAGAAAAAAATATTTTATATTGAAAAAATATTTAAAAAAATATATAATACATAAAGACATAAAGAACAGTCATAAGGGAAATCAGAAAAAAATTTTTTTTTAAATTTCTTATCCATGTTGAGGATAATTTTTAATAGAAAAATTAAAAAATAAGGGAGGCATTTATGCATGTTGAGCATAAATATATTTTTAAAAAAATTAGAAAAAAAACTTTTTAAATTTTTTACAAAAATTAATTTTTTTTAATAGTCAAAGTAGTAAAATATTTAAAATATTAAAACAAAAAAAGGAAGGTAATTACTGAAAGACATCCCCCATTTTCAACATTCCTTCTTTCCTTATTAAGCTCCTTTCAGAGAGGAAAATTTCTTAAATACCGAAAAATTAGTCCGCAAGTCGGAAAATTAGTCCGCAAGTTTTGTCCGCAAAATATAATTTTAATAAAAGCCCCAGATGATCTTCTCTTCATTCTAACAATTGAAAAATGAAAAGAAAATAATAAGAAAAAATAGGGAGAGGAAGAGGCAATGGTCCTTCAGTATGACCACACACAAAAAAATGAGGGAGAAATTAATCAAAAAGACAAACAGGAAAAGAGAATTTTTCTTTTTGGAAAATTTTACAGAATGAAAAAAATTAAATTTTAAGTTTGGGTGGTTTAGCAGCACTTGGAAAATTTTTTGTTTTTAAAAATGCTGAATGTTTTTAAGATTAAAAATTAAAAACTTGGAAAATTAAGCTTCCGCTTCCCATTCAATTCTTGGATCTCCTGGTTCTTGCTCTACAACAGTTTTTTCTTTGATTGAAACCTGGATACAACTATTTGTTTGTTTTTCACTAAAAAATTTCTTTATATTAAAGAAATTTTTCAACAAAAAAAACCTTTCTTCAATAATACAAACATCGGTGGATTTTGACTTGAAAAAAAAATAAAAATTTAAAAATTTTTAATTCAAAATTTAGCACTTTTGGGTTATCCCCCCAACCTTTAGTGTGAGGGGAGAGCCCAAAAAGTACCCAAAATTAAAAAAAGATTCTTTACTTTTACATCTTTAGTGCTCAAAGAACGATGTAAATCAGCTAGCTGAACTTGTCCAAGTTGTGCACTTCTTAAAGCAGCAGTAGCAACAATGTCACGGGCACAGGATAATCCGAGAGTTCCCAAATTGACAACCTAAAAATTTCAAAAAATTTAAAAACTCTGAAAATTTTTAGAAAAGAAAAAACCTGTCTGTACGACTCATTTTTAGCCTGTTCCAAGAATACATCAATATCTCCTTCGTGTTTCATCAACATTGGATGAACCCATTTTCGATAAAGTATTGAAGAGCCTTTTGTCCTTAAATGAAAATTTTAATAAAAATAAAAAATATTTTTAAAAAACCAGGGACTCAGCAGCCACACAACAAAAACAATTTTTAATTCGTAATAGAAAGGGAACCTTAAAATTAAAAAAATATTTTTAAATTTTTTGAAATTTGTCTGAAAATTTTTTACTAAAATTTTCAAAAAAATTTCGAAAATTTTCAGTCATATTTCAAAAAATTTTAATAAAAAAATTCCAAAAACTTTTTCCAAAAAAAAATTAAAAAAAAAACCAAAAAGCCAAAAGAATATCAGCCAAAGCTTCGCTTGCATGGAACAATGCAAAAACAATCCAATACATCATCCACTTTACATATTCTTTTACATCTTTGGTTCTAACAGCCTTGTAACTTTAATTAAAAAAAATTTCAAAAAATTTTTCAGAAAAAAATCCAAACCTTCGATAACCTGGATAAAGAGTTCCTGCTAGAAGAATCACAATACGAGAAAAGAAGGCTGATATAACCATTAAATATTTTCTCTGGAATATTTAAAAACCCGCAATTTTAGTTTGAGCAAAATTTAAAAGTTTTGGTGTTGTTGTTAAAATAATTATGTGCTTTAATCACTGGAAAAAAATCAAAAAATTAATATTTCTTTAAAAAAGGGGAGAAAGAGAAGACAGCAGGAAGAACTCAATAAAATAAAAGTTTCGTAAAAACATATTTCAAAAGGCTTTGAGAAATCGACAAGTTAATCCTTCCCCAGATTTAACCACTTGACTAATGTGGTTGTTTAAAACAGAGTTTTGTTTTGAAATAAGTTTTTCGAAACAAACCTTGCGTGTTTAAAGAAATATTAATTTGGATTTAGATTAGCAGAAAAAAAATAAAAAGTAATATAAAAACGTTTAAAAACGTTAAAATGTCAAAAAACGAATAAATTAAATTTTATTTAAAATTGTGTAAAAGTTTTAAATTAATCACAAAAAATTATAAAAAACCTCTACTCTTTTAATTATTTAAATTAATTTATTCAACCCATTTTGGTTTCCGTTTTTGCAAAAATGCAGAAATTCCTTCCTTTGCATCAGGCAATTTTAAATTATTACACATTACAGTTGCTCCTTGTCTAAAAAATTAAATTTTTAAAAATTAAAAAAAACAAAATAAAATTCAGAAAAAAAAATTTCAAAAAAAATCAGAATTTTTTCCCAACAATTTTCAAAAAAAAAATTTAAAAACCTGTTTGCCGTCGCTATATTTTGTTCAATTTGTGTGTAAAAGAAAGCCTTCCCTAAGCCACAAACATGTCTAGAATATTTACAAATTTCTTCAGATATTGACAAAACTTCTTCTTTCGCTTTTCCATCTTCTACTAGACGAGAAATTAAACCAAAATTTAAGGCTTCTAAAAAAGTTTTTTTAATTTTCAAAAAATTTTTTTATCCTCAAAACCTTGTGCAGTTATTTCTCTGGCAGTTAATAACATATCCATAGCCAATTTTCGTGGTAAATTACGTGCCAAAGCAATTCCAGGGGTATTACAAAATAGGCCTATTTTAATTCTAAAAAATAAAAAATTTCAAAAAAATTTTTAGGGAGGTTCCAAGAAAGAGAGTTTAACAAGAAAAAAGATTCTTCCTTGGGAAGGGAGGCCCCAAGAAAAAAATTAATTAAAAATAGAGGGAGGTCCAAAACCATAGTTTGATATAGATCTAAATCAGACATTGAATCTTACCGGAGCCAAAATCAAGAGAAAGACATTTTAGGGTTGTTTGATCTTCCTCGATTTAATGTCAAAAAACTACTGAAACTCCAAAAATCAAAAACCCAAGTTAAGGCCAATATGGCCAACAAATGACATGAAAACAAAACTCAAATACAAATTATTTTATTTCTTACTCTCGGGAACCGAAACACATTTTCTTCTGAAGCAATAATAATCTCGGGAACAAAAATGATTCCCCAAATCCCAAAAAAATATTCAAAAAAATACCCCGGACAAGAAAAAGTAGATCTTTTAGTAGCAGCAACAATATCACAAGAACCAACTAATTGAGTAGCTGCTGCCGTTACTAGTCCATCAACTTCGGCAATAACAGGCAAAGAAATATTTTGTATAGTCTCCATTAATTCAACACATTTATTGAATACTCTTTTGTGAGAGGAAGGACCAGATTCCGCCGTCTAAAATTTAAAAAAGACTAGAAATAACTTTAAAAAAATTAAACCAGTTCATTAAGATCATGTCCAGCCGAAAAAACATTTCCTTTTGAAGCAATGATAATTGTTCGAATTTTTATATTATTATCCAATTCCTTCAATTCGTTGCGTAAACTTTCCATTAAATCCAAAGAAAGCGCATTTCGACGTTTTGGACAATTTAAAACCTGGAAAAATTAGAAAAGTTGGGAAGGTATTGAGTGTAGTGGCTGAGGTAGGCTACCAGGGAAGGGGCGGGTCACGGTCACCTGAAACCCGGACTCTGAACTCGGTCGACCCCACCCCGTACAGAGAAAAGATATTAAAAGCCGATACGAAATCCGGTCTTTTTCCTCAACCCAGGCCATCCCTGCTACCAAGTAAAAAGTATATAAATTCTTTAACTCTCCCCCTTCAAGGTAAGTGGATAAAAAGCTTTGTGGGTTGATTTAAGTATCCCCAAAAAATTATTAAAAAAATATACCAATCTAGCAACTTTTCCATCCAAATACAATTCTTGTTTAATCAGAGGTTGTGAACCTTCTTCTTTTGAAATTGACGAAAGTAAAAAAGTTGAAGAAGAGAATAACCTTGGATTTGAAAAAAATGGAGAACATCTCAAATGTAAAAATGGAGTAATTATTCTGCTCATTTTCAACTGAAAAAAGGTTAAAAAGTACATTAGTTTATTGATTTCTAAAGTTGAAGGGAACGAAGAGACTCGCTAACATCAGTAAAAATTACAAAAGATAAGATAAAGGATAAACCAGTCGAGAAAAAATCAATATATGTTAAAAAAGCAAAGCGACTCGTAAAAGAGCAAATGAAAAGTTTTGTACAGTTTACCATTTTTATTTTAGACATTTTGAAAGTTTACATTTCAACAATATCAAATTTCAAAGTGTCAACTTTTCTTCAAAATTAATTTTAAATTGCTAAGACACCTTTCGTCTTTACACAATTCGTCCCGTTGAAGAAAAACTTGCAATTCGTCTCATATTAAGGATATTTTCATGTAACATATTTGACCAATTCCATACTTTGCCAATAAGGCCAAAATCCTGCATTTTGTCAATCAAGCCTTATTGGCAAAACGATGTCTTGTAGCGGTATTGGTAAAATATGGAATTGATCCAAATAAGAGAGAAGTTTAATTTTTAATTTAGTTTTTTTCATTTCTAGATTAAAAAATGTCAACAATACATGTAGACGAAATTTTAAAATTGCCATCTCAGGTTCAATTTAAATTTTCAATTAATTTATAACATTTTTAGCCTCCCGAAAAACGCCCTCGTCTAGCCGAATTTAATCACGAAGAAATTAAAACAACTAAAAATGCAATAGAAATATTGGAATCTACCGATGATGAAGCACAAGAAGAAATTGATGAAGCTGCTATTAAACGATTATGTCTTCAGGTAAAAAATTTTAAATTTTTGAAATTTTTAATCGATTTAGCTTGAACGGAAGCAAGCGAAGAATGCAGAAACGCGAGTTAAATATCCTGATGATCCCAGAAAGTTTATGGAATCTGAAGTTGAATTAAACACTGCAATACAGGCATGAATTTTATTCTTTAAATTTTATAGAAATGTAATAGTTACGTTTTTGACCCCCCTTTTCTGTCCCCCTATCTCCAAGTTATCTTTATTGTTGGCCGAGAATGTCATTGATTGTTCGGTTGTTTAGTTTGGATTTTAACATTTTCTGACCGGTTTCTGGTCGAAAACAATTCTGGTACCGGTTTGGGTTAGTTAGAATGGTTAAGAGGGATATAAAGATTAAAGGGATTTGGAGTAATACTGAGGGCTTCGTGAGATCTACCTTCAAATCCCCATAATCCTAAAGAGGAATTCCCGAAGTTTTCAGGAAATGCACGTAATAGCTGCAGAACCTCAATTCTACTCAATTTTGGTAGAACAAGGTTCTCTACAAATTTTGTTACAGCTTCTTTCTCATGAAAATGCGGATATTGTTGGAGCTGTTTGTAATTTGTTACAGGTTAAATTTTCTGGAAATTTTTTTCTAAAAAACTTTCCAAAATTTTTAGGAATTGACTGACGTTGAAATTTTAGTCGAAAGTGAAGATTGTGCAAATTTGTTGATTGAAGAATTACTTAAAGGACAAATTGTCGAAACTTTAGTTCAACAAGTTCTGGGCAGACTTAATGAAGGAGAACAGGATGAGGCTGATGCGATTCATAATGCTCTGACTATTATTGAAAATGTTGGGAGGGGTTTTTTTTAATTTTTTAAAGACTTCTTAAAATTTTTTCGGGTCCTCCCTTTATGTTTTAAAAAAATTTTTTGAGACTTTACTCTAATTAAAAAATTTCTAAAAAATTTTTTGAGACCTCAAAAATTTTTAGAAATTTTTTGCGACCTCTCCTAATTAAAAAAAATTTTTTTTCGATGCTTCCCTTTATTTTTAAAATTTTTCTAGTTACTCGACTTCCGTCCTGAAGCTAATGAAATTTGTGTTTCTCAAGGCCTATTTGAATGGTTGATGATTAGAGGGACTAAAAAAGGAGCTTTTGATGCAAACAAGCTATTTGCCAGTCAATTATTGCATATGTTATTACAATCATCGGCGTCTGCTAGAATTAAACTGACAGAAAAAAGGGATGGTGTTGATCTTCTTTTGAGGGTTTCTTTTAATTTTTTTAATTTTAAAAATTAAAATTGTCCGCAAAAAAATTTGTCCGCAAAAATTGTCCGCAAATATTTTTTAATCAAAAAGGCTTTGGCAACCTTTAAAAAACATGATCCAAGCAGTCCAGATGAATACGAACACATGGAAAATTTATTTGACGCTTTGTGTGCTTCACTTATGCATGCCCCTAATCGACAAGTTTTTCTTGATGGAGAAGGTTTACAATTGATGAATTTAATGTTAATGTAAATTTTTTTTTAATTTTATTTTTTAATTTAAAAAAATTTTTTTAGGGAGAAAAAACAATCGAGGGAAGGTGCTTTAAAAGTTTTGAGTCATGCAACAGCAATTCCTGATGGAACTGCAAATTGTGATAAATTTGTGGAGATTTTAGGTTTTCTTATTTTTAAATTTTATTTTAATTATTAAAAAATTTTTTTAAGGTCTGAGAACTTTATTTCCTCTTTTAATGCGTACACCACCAAAAATGAAAAGAAAGGATACAACACCTGATGGTTTGGAATTTTTTATTATTTCTTTTAAAACTAGTTGTTCCTATCGGGTGATGGCGGTAAAATACTATACTCTGGCGGTTTAATTTTGCTTTGGGTTTGAATTTGGCTCTGCACGTTTGAAAGCCTAACGGCTTTGGGGCGCGCTTCGCGCGCTGCTAGAAACAGTAAATTTTGCACTGCCTTTTCATTTCTTCGGGCCTTCGGCCCTCGCCGATAAAGTTTAGCTCTGTCTTTTCATCGCTTCGGGCCTTCGGCCCTCGCCGGTAAAGTTTGCGCTGCCTTTTCATTGCTTCGGGCCTTCGGCCCTCGCGATTCGTTTTGGGATGGATCATAAGCTCGGGCCTTCGGCCCTTGCGATTCGTTTTGGGATGGATCTTAAGCTCGGGCCTTCGGCCCTCGCGATTCGTTTTGGGATGGATCATAAGCTCGGGCCTTCGGCCCTTGCGATTCGTTTTGGGATGGATCTTAAGCTCGGGCCTTCGGCCCTCGCGATTCGTTTTGGGATGGATCTTAAGCTCGGGCCTTCGGCCCTCGCGATTCGTTTTGGGATGGATCTTAAGCTCGGGCCTTCGGCCATCGCGATTCGTTTTGGGATGGATCTTAAGCTCGGGCCTTCGGCCCTCGCGATTCGTTTTGGGATGGATCTTAAGCTCGGGCCTTAAGATCCGTGTGAGGGCCGGAGAGATTTATGGCCTCCGGCCCGCCGTTTGGGGCCTTCGGCCCCCTAACCCCCCACCCCCGAAAATTCGACCTTTTGTAACTTTGTAAAAAATGGTCAGAAAATTTTACAAAAAATATTTTTAGACTCAGCTCAATGAGAGCTTTCGAATGATATTACATTTGGCCTATATATGGCCATTTTGGAAAAAATATTTTTTTGACCGTAAATTTTGACCGAAAAATTCACGCAATTTTTCAAAAAATCATAACTTCCCAAATATAAACCCTTTTGAAACATTTTAAAAGCTTAATATATAGTAAAAATTCTGCTCTATATTATAAAAATATATTTAACCACCCTCAGACTCGATATACCTCAGAAAATTTCAAAAAACCGAAAAATTTTGAATTTTCAAAAAATCGACCCTACCAGGCCTCTGGTGAAATTTTTCAAAAATTTAAACGGCTCATAAAATTTGTAATTTTTTTCTCTATTTTATGACCTTTAGTTGGTTTGTCTACATCAAAATCTCACAAAGTTATGCCCATTTTAAATTTCACCCAAAAATTTCAAAAGGGGTACCCCTTCAAAAATGGGTCAAAAATTCGACCTCGAGATAAATATGTTTTATGGTGCTCCAATATGTGCTGAGCACGAATCTAAAGTCCGTTTATTTTTAAAAAATTTTTAAAAAAAGTTACACTCAAAAAACCGACCACTTTTGGCCCTAAAAATGTCACTTTTTGCCCTATAACTTTTTCAGACTCAAGTGTACCCCCAACAAAGTATATATTTTTAGAGGTTTCAAGGGACGCTCTATAAGATAGGATACTCAAATCGAGTTTCAATTCACGCGTTAAAAAGTCGGTTTTGGCGTGGTCGCTTTGGTGCCCATAACTATGTCAGGAAAAAATCCCAGACTCAAGTGTCCCCCAACAAAAGTGTAGTACATTTAGTGCCCTAACATACTAAAAAAGAGTTGAAACCGTTTGCCCAATCTTAAGCATTTTTATAATTACACTCAATGGGAGCCACCCTTCACGTTAGGGGTTTTGGATATTTTGGACCTTTTGAGTCCCATAACTTTGCCCAAAATGGTCAGAAAAAATCAAACCAAATTTTCCCATAACCAACTCATGGAGCTCTATCGATTGACATATAGATCATAAATTGTCGGTGAATTTCGTCGGACACCATGTGTCATTTTGGGACGAGATGTGCAATTTTTCCACGAGGCTACAGGTCGGAGAGTTGATCCGAGCCCTCCCAAATTTTTCCTACGATATAGTACACATCCCAACTTAAAATCCTCCCAGCAAGCATTTTTTGATACCACTTCTGGCATCCGCGCTATTTCCATTTGAAAAACCACCCATGGCCGTTTCAGCGCGAAAAGACGTTTCAGTGCCGAGGTCAGATTTTTCCTGAATAGAGCGTAAAAAGTTGCAGGACTAATCCACCCTCAAAAAAATTCCAGCCGCCGGCCTTCGGCCGGCGGAATTTTTGAAAGGGATTTTACGGCCAAAAAGGGGGAGGTGTCGGGGTTTTTTATATATATATATAATAAGTACACACGTTTTTCGATACACTCGTTTTTCGGTTAAAAAGTTTAAAAACCCTCGATGAGTTTAAGTCTCATTTCAATAAAAGGAGAGATACCCCTCTCATTTTCAATAAAATTTTCGAGTTTAAAACCAGCCGCCAACATTCTTAATTTAAAAATAAACTTTTTTTAATTTATGTAGATCATGAAGAATATTGCTGTTCGGTTTGTTTTTTCTAATTAAAAATTTTCTTAATTTTCAAAAAATTTTTAAATTAGATAATTGATGCATTATTATTTTCCTGCAATCAAACAAATAAAAATCGAGTTCTTTCAAAATTTGCAGATCATTGTTTTGAGAAAATTGACAGAATGGTGGAATTATATATTAAATACAGGTTAAATTTTAAATAATTTTTTAACATTAAATTGATTCTTTAGTGAGAAATTGAGGAAATTTGAAGTAAAGTTTGAAAAGAGACTTGCAGAGATGCATAAAGACGTTAAACCGGATGAGGAAGAGGTTTTTTGTTTTTCTTATTTTTTTTTAAATTGGAGCGCGCCGAAATACCAAACTCTTTTAGGGGGTTGGTATTCGGTACGTTTGGTATTACGACATCGTCGTTAAAAATCATTCCAATTCTTTTTATATTTTTCTAATTTCTTTTAAAGATTTACATTGAAAAACTCAACAATGGCCTATACACACTTCAACGAATTGTACTAATTTTAGCAGAAGTTTGCATAAAAGGAGCACCTGGCAGTAAAGAAAGAGCAGAAAAACTGTTTAAAATGCGATTTAAAGGAGCACATTTGAATACTTTGTTGGAATCGGTTAGGAAATTTTTTTAAATAATTTTTAAGTTTTTCCTTTAGATCCTCACAGAATTTTATGATTCACTAGATCCAGAAGCGAATGACCAAAAGGAAAGAGTGGAACATTTAATTGCTTGTTTGAGTGCCTCGTAAAATTTTTTTTGGATTTTTTTTTTGGTTTTTTTTTGAAAATTTCTTGTGTTTTTTGTAATTTTATTGACTATTTAACAAGGAACAAAAAATTAAATATAAAAAATGAGAACTAAACTATGAAAAAAAGTATTTTTGGACTGACACGTATTTTAAGTAATAAATCATCAAAAAAATTTTTAAGACTAAATAGAAGTTTGTGTGTAATTTAAAAATTTTTCTAAACTAATTAATCATCCCCTCTATTCAATTTTTTCATTACCAAATGAAATTTTTCCCCAATTTTCTCCATTTCCTCGTCGGTTACGTCAACACGACAAGTAACTTTAACCCTTTTAAAAAGGATTATAAATTTTATTTTAAAAAAAACTTACGTCGCCTTTTGTGAAAATGCTTCCTGGTCTGAAAGGTAATGTGCTCTAGATACAAGAATTCCGACTGTTTGGAGCTGAAAAAATTTTTTTAATCGAATTTTTAAAATGAGAGTTATTGTTTTAGACTTGTAAGGTCGTTCCTAATGTTTTTTTAACCAGCTTGAGACTAGAAATGTCTCGGGTTGAGAGAAAAAAGGTCGTGTTCTAAATTTTTTCGGATCGAGTCAAGTCGAAAGAAGTCCAGGTTTCAAATAATCCCTGCTTAACAAGTCATCCCTGCTTAAAACCCACTGATTTGAAAACCTACTACCTAGAATTCTCCACTTCCTCGTCTATGGAAAATCAGAAAAAATTTATGGAAATAGTAATTAAAAAACCACAAACCTCGGAAACAAAGTCATTCAATACTTGTTCAACCACATCTTTATCTTCGTGTTCAAATCCAATATGTTTCAACGGTGATATTTCATCCCCAATCACTACGAATTTTAATCCTTCAGTTGTATTCAGAATTAATTTGTGTAAAGCAATTGACTTTTGACGAAGAATTTTTGGAAGATTTGGTTTTTCTTGAATAATATTTATTGCTTCACCTGTAAAAATTTTTTTGAAATATTTTTAAAAATAAAATTAACGGACTTGCGGCTACTGTTAACAAAGGAGGTAATGATGCAGAAAAGCAATAACCAAGCCCTAAAAATTAAATTTTTTACTCATTAAAATCAATTAAAAAAACCAGATAGCCGTTGATGTCCAATAACAAATGATCGACCCGCGCAGAAACCTCCAGTTGTTGCAACAGCATTTTCTAGCGAAGCTGATATTAAATCCTTAATAAAAAAGGTTTATAGATAAAATTAGAGATATTTTCTTTTAAATAATTCTGATCTTTCAAGTTTAAACTTAAGATAATATTTTAAAGCAATTCTGGTCTTTTAAATTTAAAAAATTCTGATTTTAAAAGAACTTATCGCAGGTAATTCTGATTTTATAAGTTTAAGCTTCAAACAATATTTTCAAAAAATTCTGATTTTTCAAGTTTAAACTAAAATTCTGATCTTACAAATGCTTGACTTAAAAAAATTCTGATTTCACAATCTTGTTTTAATAATTCTGATTCCTCAAGATTGAGTTTCAGGTACTATTTTTAAATAATTCTGATTTTTTAAACTTACAAATTCTGATTTTTTGAGTTTAAACTAAAACTCTGATTTAACAACTTGACTTAAAATAATTCTGATTTTCCTAGTTTAAACTTGAATTGAAATAATGTTTATTTTATTAAACGCAAGCGCCTTCGAATAAGTTTTAAAAATAGAAAGACCAACCACATCAACTGCATCAATTCCAAAGTGTTCAGTTATTCCTGAAAATTAAAAAATTTAATTTTATTCAATTTTTATTTCCATTTTAATTTTAATATTTAATTTAAAAATTAAAAAACATTTTCTATTTCCTTTTAAATATTTAATTAAAAGATTGGAGAACAACAATTCATCAAATAATTTAATTTTAAAATCTCTCTCAAAAAAATTTTTTTTTCTTTACTTAATATTAAAGAATCACTTGAATAATTTTTTAATTTTCCCCATTTTTTATTTAATCACTTCAAAAAAATTTTTAATTTCAATTTTGTTTAAATAAACATAAATACGTGTCAAAAATATACATACATCCCCCCTAAATATTTTGAAATGTTTAACAAATAAAATTTAATAATAACAATAAAAAATGAGAAAAAATATTTTACGAGAAAAGTGAACCAAAAAAATTGAATATTAAATAAACGTTCCTATATAAGATTAGTGAAAAGTAGAGGCTGGCAATAAAAAAATTTTGGGGGGTTTTAATAAGAATTTTTGAGGGTTGATAGTTGGGGGATATATCTAAAAAAGGGTATGGAGGAAATGTGAAGGGATGGTGTAAAATTCGAAAAAAGAAATTTAAAAAATCTTTGAAAATTTAAGAAGATTGGAAATAAAATTATAAAACGTTTTTTTTTGGCCTCTAATGTAAACAAAATAAAAAAAATACAATTTAAAATGCAAATCGCTACGTGAAAAGTTAAACACCTGACAGAAAATTTTAGTGACATACCTAATTTATAATTTTTCCTTCCTATAATGATGATAAAGGTTAAATAAATAAACAATTAATTAACCTTTATTTTGACCAGTTTTTTTGTTCTGTGTTTACTTTTCTCAAAGAACATAAAGCTTTTAAATACACATACACACGTAAATATAAACACAAATAATGCGCAAATACAACCACCAACCACCACCCAATGTAACAATAAAAAAATAAAAAAGGGAGAGGAGGAAAAAGCGGCTGGCTAATGATTAAAAAGACGAAAAAAAAACAGTAAAAAAATCAAATAAAAAAATTACAAAAATATATTTATATATGTTGCTCATTTCTGTTATATGAGGACATGTTAAAAAGCGAAAAGGGAGAGAGGTAAATTTTATTTATTGCGCATTTTTAATAAAATATTTTTTCTTATTTCCTCAAAAAAAATTCTCGCGCACATTTTCCAATTTTTCAATTTCTAAAAACTAAACAAATTCTTTTTCCTATCAGTTTTATTATTATTATTAGAGAATTTGTTTACCTATCGGCCATAAACTTAAATTGTTTTTTATAGCTTTCATGAATAACTTTTTTTGAAAATTGCGTAAATCCCCTTTTTTCCTTTACTCTTCTTTTCTAAAATATTTTCTCTAAAATATATATTTTTTATTCAAAATGTTAAAAAAATTTTTTTATTTATTTTTATTAAAAAAAAAATTGTTTGAACGTTAAAACAAATTCGCCAAATTTTTATTTTTTTCCCGTTATAAAAATATCTCTCCCCTTTCTCCGCCTATTTTTCTTCAATTTTAAAAAGTAATTAAAAGTACGTCGAGAAAATTATTTTTATTTATATTTTTACAAAAATATTTTTCTCTCTATTTTTTAAAACTAATTTGAAATTGTATTTTATTTTACTACAAAATTAAACAAAAACAATTCACGCAAAACTTATATATTTTTAATTTTGCAAATTAAAACCACAACGCTTTTTTTTCCTTCGTTAATGATACCGTTTTGAAATAACTTTTAAATTAATAAAGTAGCTCCGAAAAAATGAAAAAAATATTTTTAAAAGCACTTAAAATTAACGCTTAATAGTAATTAAATAAAAAAAATTTTTTTTTGAAAAATCTTTTCCTAAAAAACGAGAATATTTTTTAAAAGCAACTAAATCTACGCTTAATAATAATAAAAAAATTAAAACAATGTTCCCCTAAAAAAGAGCCTGAAAAACAATTTTACTTTAAAAATTTCTTCCAAGTCTAAGGTCCAAAAATTAAAATTCTATTTTTGTAGTTTTTTTAAAGTGTGACATTAAAATAAGACTACCCATTAAATATGACAGATGATCATTACTAATATTTTTTTAATTTAAAGAAAAATTAATTAACGATTTTTGGTCATTTTTTACTTAAAATCTTCTTTTTTTAGTTGCGCAATTAAAACGTTTTTACATTAAAAAAATTTTTTTAAAAAATATTCCCGCCTCCATTAGGAATTATAATTTATTTAAAAAGGGGAGGATTAAAATGTGTTCGCCAAAATCTATATTATTTCCTGTTACATTTATATTAAACTTTAAAACCTAGACTTGATATCACTAAAAGCTTTTAATGGGCAAAAAACATTCCTTACCACACAAGCAAACTTAAAAACAAAATTCTGGCTTAAAACTTGAGAAATCGAGTGCACTTTAATTTTAAACTTGAAAAATAAATTCTAAAAGAGCATAAAAGCTAGCTTAAACTTGAAAAATCAGAATTATAATTAAAGATTAGGAATCAGAATTAAAGCGTAAACTTAAGAAATCAGAATTATAATTAAAGATTAAAAATCAGAATTAATGTGTAAACTTGAGAAATCAGAATTAACGCGTAAACTTGAAAAATCAGAATTATAGCCAAAACTTAAGAAATCAGAATTAACGCGTAAACTTGAAAAATCAGAATTATAGCCAAAACTTAAGAAATCAGAATTAATGCATAAACTTAAAGACAGAATTTAGATAAAACTTGAAAAAATCAGAATTAAAGCGTAAACTTAAAAAATTCAGAATTAATGCGTAAACTTAAAAAATCAGAATTATAATTAAAACCTAATATAGCATAAACTTAAAACATAATTATAGCAAGCTTAAGAAATCAGAATTCTAGTTCAAACTTAGATTTAACTTAGAAAAACCAGAATTAAAAATATGACAGAATAAAGAGATTTTACCTAATTCACATGAAATACTGTTAAATGCTCTCAATGTAAAATTAAGTTACATTAATCATACTAGCTAGAACATTTAATTTTAAAAAAGAAAACAATATTATTCAAGGCCCCGTTCCACCAATAAATAAACAAAAATTGATTGCGAAATTTTTACGTGTTTTTCTTTTAAAAATGATATCAACTTAGTAACTTTTATTTAAATTTTATATTAAAATTTTCAGGAAGGGAATGGGAGAGTCAACTCAACACAATATTATTACTCTAATAAGACCGCAGTTTATGCTACTATTATTATTATCATGTCTCTTAATTATTTCAAATTCCCATGCATTAGAACACCCGAAAAGGCTAATATTAAACAATAACGACAATGAAACACCTAAAATTATTTCAAGACATTCTGATGATAATTCTGAGAATTCTTCTGATGATTCTGAAATATTAAAGAACAACAAATCCACAATAATACTCCCAAGGCCGCCTTTTGAAGAAATAGAATTCTCCCTAAAAAATGTTTCAAACGACTTGAATATTAAAGACAATTTAAATTCGACTAGTTCTGTAATAAATTCTGAAGACGAAAAAGATGTAGCGACAAATGGAATAATAAGTTGCGATTTAGGAGATGATACTATACTAGAAGCAAAGGAAAGTATTGCTGTGTGCAGTGCAAATTCTGAAAATTGGCATATTTATTGTGCTGGAAAGCTACTTGAGGTATGTATTAGGAGGCATTTTAACCTCGGCCCCCGAACCGGATCCGGATATCCGAAGATTTCCTAGGATTAAATAGTTCAAAGCCATTAAAAAATTTCTTTCATTCCAGGCCGTAAATTATCATCAATTATTGGAAGAAAATGATTCAAAAGAATTTGTAGATCGTCCATTAAAGAGAAATGCAAGTATTGTAATAGAAGAATTTGATAAATTATTTGGTGAAAATGTCTCAGTTCACGATATTCCAAAACAAAATTTGAGCAAATTTTTGGAGGAAAATTTTGACCATGCAGGGGGAGAATTGAAAGAATGTACACCCGAAGATTGGACACCAGTTCCAGCTGAGTTGGAAAGAATTAAAGATGATACTTTAAGAAGTTGGGCAATGGAATTAAATTCAATATGGAAAGATTTGTGTAGAGTTATACCTGAAGAAATTAAAGATACGAGAGACAGACATTCACTAATTTATGTCAAAAATCCATTTATAATTCCTGGTGGACGATTTAGAGAATTTTATTATTGGGATGCTTATTGGATTATTAAAGGATTAATTGTGTCTGGAATGACAACTTCTGTAAGACTGATGATTGAGAATTTTTTGGATATTGTGGACAAGTTTGGTTTTGTTCCAAATGGAGGAAGAATTTATTACGCCAAGCGATCACAACCGCCGTTCCTTACAATGTAAAATTCACCTTCCGTATATGCTCGAATAATTGTCTCACCCTCTTAAACAACTACCCCCTCTCGATAAGGTCAGCGGTTCCTGGGAAATCTTCGGGCTATAATAAGTACCTTCCCTCAATCAATTACCTCTCTAGCGAGATGTTGAAACCCAGAGTACTGATTTGAGCATATACGATAATTTCAAAAAAATAATTATATGTTGTATATTCAGGATGGTATATGAATATTTTGAGGCAACCCATGACTATGATTTTATTAAGAAAGCTTTACCTATTTTAGAGAAGGTAAAAAAATATCAAAAATAAGTTTAAAAAAGGATCAAATGAATTTTTAGGAAATGGAATTTTGGACAAATGAAAGAGGTATTGAAGTCCCTATAGGTGACAAAACTTATAGAATGTTCCAATACAGAGTTGGTTGTAATGTTCCAAGACCAGAATCCTTTTGTGAAGATGTCAGACTTGTAAAACAAAAAACAAAAGTTGAAGATAAACGTCAAATATGGAGAGATTTATCTTCTGCCGCTGAGTCGGGCTGGGATTTTAGCAGCAGATGGATGAAAAATCCAGAAAAGCCAAAACTAGTCGATATTGAAACAACAAATATAGTACCTGTAGATTTGAATGCTTACATCTGTGGGAATTATGAAATACTTTCACATTTGTACTTACAATTAGGTGAGAAAATATTTTGAAAAATTCAACTATTTAATCCTCCCCTTTCAGAAAATAATTCCAAAGCCTTTGAATACCACACAAAACATTACGAATTCCGTGAAAACTTTCAAAAAGTATTTTTTGTACAACATGACCGAGAAACAGCAGGCTGGTACGACTACAATCTCCGAAAGAAGGATCACAATAAAAACTTTTATGCTACAATAGCTATCCCCTTGTTTACACGTTGCTATCATTCCATTGATTTGCAGCAATCGGAACGCATATTTCGTACAATGGAAACGGCTGGTGTTTTTAAAGAGCCGGGTGGCATTCCAACAAGCATGATAAAAAGTCACCAACAATGGGATTATCCAAATGGTTGGCCTCCTCTCAATCACATGATTATTGAAGGTTTAAGGCGTTCAGACAATAAATTGTTTGTAAACAAATTTTTGTTTTTTAAAATAAATTCCTGTTTTTTAAGAATGCAGAAAAAAGCATTTTGGTTAGCCACAAAATGGGTATTAAGCAACTATCGAGTTTATCGCAATGATAGTCCAAAAGGAAAAATGTGGGAGAAATATGAAGTAAACAAGTTTAAACCAAACAAAGGAGTTGGTGGAGAATATCAAGTTCAGGTAATGAATTTTAGAAAATAATGATGAGAGATATTTTATCCAACGATGTCATGGGTTATCCGAAATCAGGGCTTTTTCCACCCGAAAGCCAATCAGAGAAATATTCCAAAGCCCGACCCACTTTTTCCTATTAATCACCCCAATTGGACTTAAAACCTGAAACGAAGAAAATTTTCGAAAACTCGACCAGACTTTCCTCAACTCGTGACATCCCTGATTTGATCCCCTCACAAACTAAAATTTTTTAAAGGCCGGATTTGGATGGACAAACGGAGTAATCCTCGATTTATTAACAACATTTGGTGACAGAATAGAATTTAAAAATGATTTAGAAATGAATCCAAATGCAGTAGCAAAAGAAGTAATTAGTAATGAACCTCCAAATCTTCCTGATGTTGGTGGAGGAAATTTACAACAAAACAATACTTTACAACAAAACCAAACAATAGATACAAGAGAAACAAGTTTATTGAAACAAGGTTCTTCTTCTAACGGCTCGAGAATGACGTTATCTTTAGCTTTTCTTTGTTTATGTACTTTAATATCAATACTGGTCCTGTCTTATACTCTTTAATTTATTAGTAGAACTATTTTAGATAAGGAAGGTCACAAGAAGTTTTAGAGGTAATAACCCCCCCCCCCCCTTCGCCCAGAATACAACCCCCTTCCGTCTCCTAAGAATACACCCCCTTTCTGTCTTTCTAAAATTTAGAAACCTCACAAAATAACACACAATAAACACAAGCACAAAACTTCAAAAGACCATCCTTACTCACTATTAACATTTACTGTTCAAAAATTCTCCTCTTCCCTTTTTTTAAAATCAAAACAGCTTTATTAGTACAAAACCCTCTACTATCATGTTCTAAAAACCCCTTTATACAAAACCCTTCAACTTCACAAAAAATCCTCTCTCTCCTATCCTTAATTAAATTTCCTTTTTTGTAAAAATGTTTTTTTAATATTTTCATTTTTCAAATTTTGTATTAGTAAAATTTAAAAAAATTCTTTTTTAAATTTTTCTCACCCACCTTTTCCATTTTCTCCCAAAACGCCAAAAGAAAGAGATTCATCAACAAATATCCGAACCTTGTATTTCCATTTAAATTCAACCAATTTATCCAAGGGGCATAAATCTGCAGTGTTTGCATAAATTCCTTCAACAACAATAAATTTACGTATTGTAGCAGCCTTCTTTTTATTCTTGAAAAAATTAAAAATAATTAATAATTTTAAAAGAAAATATACTTTTGAATCAGCAAGTGATTGTTCTTCTAAAAGCCTTTCAAGATGATCCATATCATTGTGGTTAAACCTTAAAATTAATTTTTTTATTTGATAGTAAGCCGTGGGAACAAAATTTTTTTGAAAAATATTCTTTAATTAAGAAAAGTCCGCAAACATTTCTTGTCCGCAAAAATTTTTTGTCCGCAAAAAAATTATTTTTCAAAATATTTTTTCTTCAAACTTGAAAGAACTGTACTAGAAAAATCCCCAAATTTAAGGTATAAAATTCTAATGAACCTCGTCCCCTATAAAATAATCAAAAAAATCAAACCAAATAATTTTGCTTTTTGAAGCTTGCAGTCCTTTTTGAATAGAAAAATTGACACTTTTATCAACAAAAATCAAATCATCCTTTTTTGAATAAGCAGGGATAGCACTAGCAATTGTAGCAAATCCATAACTATACAAAATTGCTTCTTCACAACCCAAAAAGTCTGCCAATTGTTTTTCCAAATTTAAATGAACATCAACGGTTCCATAAAAATTGCGAGGACCACAAGAACCAACACCATATTTAAATATTGTATCTTTTGCTGCTTCCTACATATTTTTAAAAAATTGTATTGAACTTAGTCAACAAAAAATTAATTTATCCACAAGAAATTAATTTGTCCATAAAAAGTATTTTTCCGCAAAAATGAATTTATCCGCAAAATTATTGTGTCCGCAAAAAAGAATTATTTTCGAAATTTAAACAGTTACTAGAAGCCCAATAAAAAACCTCAATCCTTTCATTTCCAATCAATCCATAAAAATCAGAAGAAATCATATTTAGGCACTCCTTTCCATTAATGTTGACATATTTGGTTATCTTCCTTTAAAAATTAATTTAAAAATTATTCAAAAAAATTAAAAATACCCTTCAATTGTTTGAGGTTCACGTATATTAGAATCACAAGTTTCTGGAACTAGAGGCAAAGGCTCCCAAGCAGTTATTCTAGCTTCCATTTCCTTAAAATTAAAAAATGAATTTAGTATGTCCGCAAGTATTGTCTGCAAAAATTTTTTGACTGTCCGCAAGTTTTGTCCGCAAAATTTTTCCAAATTTTCTCAGGTCTGGTTGGGAAATACCCCCTCCCCCTTAAAAAGCTAACCTCTTCACTCATCAACTGTTTCCTTGTTTTACCCAGCTGTAAACGATACTTCCAAAAAGCAAAAGAGCAAAGCATAACAACCACCAGAAGTGACCAATTTCTTAAAAATAAGGCTGCAGCGAAAAGAATAAAAATAATAAAATAGCTTCTAAAAGCATCCATTTTCTTCATTGCAAAAAAATGAATTTTAAGGCTATAAAATCAGGAAAAATTTTTAAAAAATTAAAAAAAGGTAAAATTGATAGAAAAATAAAACAGAATTATTTTTAAAAAAATATAAAAATGAAGATATTTATTAAAATTAAAAAAAAATATTTAAAAAATATCACAACTTGTGTCAAATCTAGGCTGGCGGATCCGAAATCCGAAAAAAGACCGTACATCAAGAAATGTTCGGTTCGTACCCGAATATCCGAAAATTTCCCAGGATTCGCCAACCTTAACCCACAAATAAAAGTCAAAAAAATTAAAAAATACTTTTAAAAGTCTGGCCTTAAAAAATAATTTAAGAAGCATATCTTTTCGTCCAAATCCTTGCCATTTTCTCGAACTCTTCAAATTGAGTGAGATATTGTTTTGCAATATGAGGGATTAAAGGATTGTGTGTATCACAGGAGTAAAACAGAGAAATCAACATCTGTAAAATTAAAAAGAATTTTTTTCTAATTTTTTAGTATAAGAGATAAGTTGAAGTCTAGCCTCGGACAGGAGTTGATCTAGCGACCTCATGGCAGCTCTGGGACCCTCTGGCATTTAGGTTAATGCTAGACGCTTTCGCACACCAATTGTAACAAAGATGGGAGGGTTACCTAAAACTCAACTTGTTTCTCAACCCGTCCCATTCCTGATGGCTTTACTGACTGATGTGAGCTATCTGGGTACTACTTCACTTCTCTTTTATTTATCTTACACCCCTGCCCAAGTGTTTAAAACTAGGCTAAATCTACACCCTTCCTTACAGTTAAAAATAAACATAAAAAATACCTCAAGCACATCCACCACTCCCATCGTAGATTTCCAATTTCGAGTCAATCCCAAATAAACATCTCCTTGACTAAACAAAAATTTAATTAAAAAAATAAAAAAAACCTGTTAATATTGCAATGATATACTTTTGTAAGAAAAACAACTTCTGGCGGAGAAAAAGGATAGTTGACTCCAAAAAGCAACTGAGCAAAAAAGGTTCCATTCTCATAAACTGTTTTAGAAGGTCCATCCAAAACTACAGACCATTTAAATATACTTTCACTGCTAGGATAAGCGTGACAACTAGAGAAAGTAAAAATAAAACAAAAATTGTTGATACCGAGATTTGGCCCCCTCGATCTTTCATTTTTTCTTAGAATGTACATAATGGTTAGTGTGACACGGGACGAAACCTCATACGAGATTTTACGAAATCCAGACCCAGAATCCGGGGTTTTAAGCGACGAAAATTAAAAAATACTAACTGTTTTAAAGGAGCCTCGCGTAAATTATGAAGTTCTTCAAAAAGTCGACGGCTAGCAATTGAAGTAGGTGCATTTATTACATATGGCTGAACACGAATATTTGTAGAAGATGATTGTGGCTAAAAGTTTTTATTTCAAAATCATCTCTAAAAGTTAAAAAAACCTTAAATTCAGTATCCTCTGAAAATGTATTCGGCAATCCAACAGCCTGACAAGAGCTCGACGGGAAGCATTTGTCTGGATTCATTTAACTGAAAATAAGACAATTGTAAAAATCCTAAAAATGGAGTGTCGAAAGTCGAAATTAGAAACCGGATTTGGAGGGTCGAATGAGGATAATCCGAAATTCTCGACAAATTTCGATTCCGGTTTTTAGACGAAATGTCCGTCTTGACATTTTACAATTTTGAAAGAATTGACAAAATGACATTTGACAAAATAAAAAATATTATAACAGTTATTTCTTTTTGTAAAATTTTCATAATGTAAAAACCTTAAATGTCAATAATTTCTTTATTGTTTCTTTGTTCTATTGTTTTAAATTTTTAACAATAAATGATTAATTTAAGATTTTTTATGCTAAACAATTAAGCTCTTCATGTTTAATTATGATGACTTCCCTGTGCTGGCTAGTTCAATGGGACATGGCAGTCAGGAAACACAGGTTTTTTTTAATTTTTTAAAAAATATTTTTTGATATTTTTAACAGAAAAGTACCTCCTCCTCCTCAAATATCAACAACAAAACTGGACGTGAAAATGGTCCAACATCCTCGGAAGCACCAGAAAATGCAGGATTAAAAATACATCCGAATGGTTTTTTCTTTTTTCTTTTGGTAAAATTGTCGTTTGGGTCCCTTTTTTCCCCAATTTTTCCCTTGAATGGCGGAGTTCTTATCCTATATGTCTTTTTGAATATTGCAATTTTTTTTGCAAAATACGAAAACTTGACTTGGGAGGGAAGAAAGAAAAGTTGACCAAGTCTGACTATTCTGTATATTAATAGGAAAAAATGTGAGTATGAAAAAATGGGACCTCTAAATGACAATTTAGTCTTTAATGTTTTCTTCCAGAATTATTTTGTATTTTTTACAGGCCGTGTTACAAACATTCTACCTGGAATGCTTAATAACCAGTTTGTGTGATTTAAAATATTTTTTCAATTTTTCAAAATTTTAAAGATTTGGAATGGCTGGATTGCTTTCATTTTTGAGGACAATAGACAACTCTCCGTCAATAACTGGACTCGCCTTAGGCCAAGATTTGACTGGTTTGGGATTGAATTTGAACCCTTCAAAGTAATTTTTGAACTTGTTCAGTTTAGGTACACATACCATTTATTCACAAGAATAGGCCTATTATTAAATCGTTGACTCCAGCGAGACGAGCGTTTTTTGCAAAGCATTTTGCCGATTCCAATAGGTTTACTTTAGCCATTTCGGTCTTGCGATTAAATGGGACGTGTCATCAAATTTGTTGGGCATTTAGCATGAATGGGCCGCCTTATGCCGCGCTTACATAAAAAGCGTCTTGCGTTTTGCGACAAAAAATAGCATTTAAAAGAAGGAGAGACAAAACCTCGTCTCTTCATTTCCAATGCTATTTTTTGTCGCAAAACGCAAGACGCTTTTTATGTAAGCGCGGCATTACACAGAATTCCGCTTTTTTTGACCCTTCTGCTTTCATTTTTTAAATTGTGGGAAGGCCATCCAGGGTAGTAAGGTGTAAAGTGTACCAAAACTAGACAAGTTTATTTTCTAAAATTATTTTTACTTATTTTTCTCGTTTAGGAAAAATTTATTCCAAACATTTGGAGGTCCATGGGGCAATTTTTCTTGTCGAATTCAGGACTTGGATGCAAAAGTACCCGACGTTTATTTGACAAATGCTACAATCAGAGAAAAATTACCAAATATTAAATTAAATAAGCTTCATGAGGATGTTCTTTTCTACCTCTTTTATAACTGCCCTGGCGAAGTTTATCAAGTTGCTGCTGCTTCTGAGTTGTTTGTTTTTTTATCGTTTTTGTAGTGGGGAAATTGAATTTTTACTGTCCGCAAATTTTTCCGAAAAATTTTTTTTCGTTCGCATGTTTTATACGCAAAAATTTTTTGGTGCCCGCAACTAATCCGTATCCCCTCGGACTTTTTGCGGACATTTTTTTATTGCAGACAAATTCTTTCTCTCTATTCTCCATAAATTGAGGTAAAATATTTGTAATGTGAATCATTCATTTATATATTTTTTTCTTTAAAATTAAGTTGTCCGCAATAAAAAAAATCCACAAAGAGTGTAGGGATAAGGGAATAGTGTCTTTAAATTTTTTTATTTTAAATTTTCTTCAGATACGCGCGTGACTGGCGGTTTCACAAAATTGAACGTTTATGGTTTCAAAGGGCAGCTTTTTTTGCTCCTCCAAAGGAAATTGGTGGAACCTTTGAACGATGTCAATATAATGCTTTTGACCCAATCCTTTGGAGAAAGGTTTTTTTAAGTTCGAAAAATATTTTTTAAAATTATTTTTTAGGTCCCAAAAGAAATGGTTTTGGAATTTAAAGATTTGGAAGGAAAACCATCTGTTCCAGGACAGAAACAAGCACCTCAGCAACAACAAAATAAACAACCTCTTCCTGCAGTTCAACAAACAACCAACAACAATTTATTCCGGAAGTCAACATCGACGACAAGTTCATTGTCAGTTCCTTGGTCTAATCAAAAATTACCGGATCTTAATTTTGAAGTTTTCGTTTACCATTTGCTAGCATTTCGGTCTAAAGGTCCCTCTGCCGATTGATTTGAGCTGCTATATTAGCTATTGGGTTCCGTGACTTTTGCGCCGAGAACATTTGCGCCGCGACTTATGCGCCGCGACTTTTGCGCCGCGACTTATGCGCCGCGACTTATGCGCCGAGCGACTTTTGCGCCGGGGGACTTTTGCGCCGCGACTTTTGCGCCGGGCGACGTTTGCGCCGCGACTTTTGCGCCGGACGACTTTTGCGCCGCCACTATCATTAATAATTATTAAAAACTACAGCCGTACCTCACTATAGAAGATCTAGGATAATGGAGATCTTCGGATATAAAGATCCGGATCCGATATCCGACCTAAAATATTCGGCTATCCGGTTTTTTTCAGATCCAGATATCTGGACCCGACAACCCTACACTATAGTGCACCCTCTTCTGGCAGAAAATCATGCCTGAATAGAGGTAGCAGACCAAATATCCTGATCCGAAAAAGTCAAGTTCTTTGAAGATGACACCTCTAGGGTGTCGGTTCATTTTTCAACCTTCCTCTAGGGGGTCGGTTTATTAGAGGGGGCTATTGTACTTCCCGAAATATTGTACTTCGTGAAAGTCCTTCAGCTACTGGACACCATTTTTAAGGAGTACACTATAATTAGGTCCGACTGTAGATAATATTTTTTTAAATTATGGCGGCGCAAATGTCGCGGCGCATATGTCGCCCGGCGCAAAAGTCGCGGCGCATAAGTCGCCCGGCGCATAAGTCGCGGCGCAAGAGTAGCGGCGCAAAAGTCGCCCGGCGCATAAGTCGCGGCGCAAAAGTCGCGGCGCATATGTTCTCGGCGCAAAAGTCGTGATACCAGCTATTGACACTCGCTCACCTTCTCTTTTAATAGTTAAACCTATTATGCATTCAAGCTAGCAGGATTTTTCCCTTTTTTCTTTTAATTAATCAGTTTTTATGTTCCATCTTCCTCACCATTTTTTTCTTTTTTTTTCTCCATTATTCTGACAATGATTTAAAATCAAAAATTTTATTTTTTATAGTGTATTAAATCAATTAAAAAGACTTACAAGTGGTTTCCCACTTCCTCGAACAGAAACTCGCCATCTTATAGATATTCTTCAAGAAAATCCGGAACTTTTTTCTCATTCATCAGAACAGGTTTTTTAGTAGTTAAATTTTTTTTTGAAAAAAATTTTGTTTTAAAGTTGCTCGATTTTATTCAGTATGAACCTGAATTAGCTGGAATATTGCTTATATATCAATTATTATATGAACCATCAAATTATCGTTCAAGTGTAGAAATTTTGTTAAATATGAATATTGATGTTTCTGTTCTTGTGGCAATTAATAAATTTGTTCAGCTTTGCGAATATAAGGTTTTCTTTTAAATAATTAATATTTATGGGTAGAGTTGTTGATTTTTGGGAAATTTTCGGGTATCTGGGATTGAACTAAAAAACCTTAACCATTTCGAAAAATCCTCGGTTCTTTGCTTCTGAAACAAGAATCCTGTGGAGGTTGAAACAGGAGGTATTCGACAATTTATCTTCCTCAAAAAATTTTGAATTCCCGTTGATTTAAAAAGGATTTCTTCGGATTATGTTACGTTATCAAAAAATTATTTTCAACCTGTTATGTAGGCTTAGGATTATGATCTAAAATTCTTTTTTATTAAAAAAATTCTTTTTCCAGGACATAAAAGTTCCAAATGATTTTCTCCACAAATTTATTTCTGTTTGTATCTTGTCTTGCGATAATGGTTCAACTTCTAATGGGTTGGCAACAGATCGTTTAGGTTTTTTTTATTTTCTTTTATGCAACGCGCTTTTTCGTTCAGTTCGTATGGTTTGTATGTTTTTTAATGGTTTGCTTGATTTGAGGTACTTTGACGTTTCGGTGGGTTTTTTATTTTTTTCTTGCTCCTCACCCTCTCCATATTTTTTTTCCTCTAAAAAATTCTTTTTTCTAGACGGTCCGGTCCGAAATTCAAAATTTTGCCTTCTCATACCTTTCGCTTAAAGAAGCATCTCAGCTTTATCAAAAAACACTTCATCTTTAAATTTAAATTTAAAAAAAATGCCCGAAAAGAACAAAAAAAAAGTGTAATTATTTACAATAATTCTAACTCACTTTATTTTTCTTTTTCTTGTCTTAAACCCTAAGAAAAACGACTTTAATGGATGACAAAAAAATTTTTTTTTAATATTTTTAGAAATTTTTTATTCGAATCTTAATAAGATCGGCCACCTCATTTTTACTTAAACTTATAATTTGATAAACCTTAATTTGTAGGGTACTTCTTTTTCATTTTGGTTGTCCACATCGCTTGGGGAATCTGTCTAAAACCGATAACACTTAAATTCTGTATACTGTTGATTTCAAACACATACAACATCCCCTAATATATACCAGATGTCAGTTGGGTTACCCAAAACCGGATCCAGAGAAAATTTCTCCGACCTCATTCGAGACCCGATTGTTTTCTGAACCCAACCCATCCCTGTTTGTGTATCAGAAACGGATCGGATTACCCGAAACCTGTACATTTTTTTAATTTGATTCGAATCCCACCCGGCTTTTTTTAGCTCCAATTGTGTGTGCACGTAAAATTGAGGTCCGATTTTATTCATTTTTTTTTAAATTAAAAAATTTTTTTTGTCATTCTTGTCGGCAATAAATACATATATCTCTTATATAATCTAGTTACAGATCTCTTCTGTTTTTTTTCTGTCCCATTTATATATTTTTTTTTCTTTAAATCTTCTAGTACCTATATCCCTTTTTTGCATGTTTTAAAATCTAAAAATTTTAGAGTTATACATTTTAATTTTAACTTCAAAAAATATAAAAATTTTTATACTTTTTCAATAAAAAAGTTTTACATTTTTTGGCATTTTTATTAATTAGAGTTTTAAATAAGACTTAAAAAAGTGTCTTAAAAATAAGTACTGGGCTGTCGACTGACCGGATCCGGCGCTGGATTTTTCCGGAGTTGCGATCCAAAATCCAGGGTTTTTTTCGCTATCTTTGGATTATTTTCGGACCAAATTAATTCAGAAAAATCCGGCCGGATCCAGTCAGGCTATTTAGAGACCGGATCGAGATGACCCTCACAGTCCAATCCCTATTCTATTTACACGAATCCAGATCCGACTCTGTAAAGAAGAATCAATTTTCCCGGGCACTAAAAATTTGTTCGTTTATTATTGTTGTTGTCCGTTAATAGTCCATTCAAAATTTTGATGTTGTTCTTGTTCTGTTTCTTCTTGTTTTATTTGTTTAATTGTCTGATTAGTTTCTAATACTTGTTTAATTATATTTATTCTATTTTGTAATCTTGGAGGTAAATAATTATTTAAATTTGTTGGTTTTTCTCTTTTACGCCATTTTGCTCTTCGATTTTTGAACCAAACCTTTTTTTTGAAATTTTTTTTAATTTTAGGAGGGTGTGAAATTAATTTTTTAAATAAGAGCACAATGTTTATTTTGTCCTAAAACTTGGTTATCTAATTCCCCTTGGGTGTTTACTTTCTAATTCTTCCTCTCTCTCCCTTCCTCTTCCCCTTTCTTTTTAAATTAATTAGCCATTTTTGTTTCTTTTTCTAAAAAATTTTTTTCAAAGCCTCTAGAAATTTTCTAAAATTTTAGTTGCGCGTTTTTCTTATTTTTCTTATATTTTTTAAAAAAATTTACCCGAATGCATTGTTCAGCCAATCCAATAGCTCGAGCTATAGTTGCTCTATTACTAACATCTGGATATTTATTTCTAGCAAATAAGCTTTCTAATTCATTTAATTGGTGGGTACTAAAAAAGATTTTTTGAGATTTAATATCTTTAAACTCATTTTTAAATTACCTAAAATGAGTTCGCTGTCTCCGCTGTTTTGGTAAATCCTGGGATATTGTTGTTGTTGTTGTTCTCTTCCCTTCATATTTAATTTCTGGTTTTTGTAGATTTGTTGAAGCTGCTTTCTGTCGGGTTTTCTCATTCCTTTCATTTTCTTAAAAAATTTTTTTCAAAGATTTTCAATAATTTATCTAAGATTTCATGATTTTTCTAAGATGTTCTGAATTTTTCTTAAATTCCAAGAATTCTCCAAGATTTCCAAGACTTTTTCTAAGACTTACTTTTTACGGGATTAACGGCAAAATTCGTTCTTTTAGTCTTCCTTTCATTTATTTTTGTAGCTTGATTTTGGGGGTTATTTGAGATTATGGGGGATATGTTAGTAAAGTTGCTGGCTTGTGGTGAAGTTACTATTAAAAAAAGGGAAGGGATATGAGTTTATTAGAGTTTAGTAAAAAAGCTTACCATTCCCAATTAACGGAATTGTTGGTTTTATTGAATTTAATTTAATCCCATCAAAATTGTTATTGTTACAATCTATTAAATCATTACAAAATTCTAGGGGTGAAAGGTATGAGTGGTTAAAAGAGGGATTTAATGTGGGATTTGAGGAGGGATTTGGTAAGCAAAATTGTGTTGTTGGGTGAAAATGACAATTATTAGGAGGGTTAAATGTTTGTTGTTGTTGGTTTGTTAAATTCGATGTTTGTTGTTGTTGACTAGAAGAAATTGAAGGAGGTTGAATAAAATCATGATTAGAAACAAAATTATTGTAATTGTGTTGAGTATTAAAAGGATAAGAAGCTGAAAATGTTAAATACCCTAAAGAAGTTGTTGCTGCTCCAAAAAATGTTGAGGAAGTATAGGAAGGAATTGAAGTTGGAGTTGTTATTGTAGTTGAAGGTGGTGGTGGTATTCTCATTAACATCATTTCATAATCTTGGTGTTGTTGGAAGGGTGGATTTTCCCAAAAACTGATAGGGGCAAAAGTTGAAGATGTTGATAATGTTGGTGGTGAATTAGGCATAAACATTATTTATTTTTTTGGGAGGGGAAAAGGGCGTGAACAGTTTTTAGATATAATCCTTTCTCTAATTCTTTTTGATATCTCTAATCCACAAGGGGGATCAGAACAAGGAATTTAAAATTTTCTTTTTTTTGAGGGTATTGTCCTTATATTATTATTTTTAATCCTTGCGAATTAGGTGACTTTTTAAATGAGCTGGAGTGAAAAAATAATTCCAAGATAATGCCAAGTAGAGGAGAAGCTAGTTATTAGTATTCCTTTTTTGTTTAAAAAGCAACCCCTCCTTATGGCAAAATTTACAGTAGTCACATTTTTGTGAGTTAAAAATGGGAGGGGAGGAAAAAGCTTAGGAAGGGTGGAAGCTTAAGGAGGGAATAAACATAGACTGACTTTTTTAAAAGCTTAATTCAAAAGATCACCCTACTTTGGAATAAACTAGTTTTGGTTGATATTTTGGGTAGTTTCCTTGACTGTTTGAACCAGAAGTAAGAAGAACGTGTTTAAGTTTTGAAGACTTATGGCCAAATAAAGGAGAAGAGTAAAAGAAGAGGGGATTTGTGTCTTTAAGGGGAATTTATAAACAGATAAGTTTTAATTATAAGTTCAATCTACGTCTGTCCGAAATTTATCTTAAAAGGCTGAATAACGGCTCCAGAATACAACTGGTCTCTGGACCTGGTGTATGTAGAAACTAATTTTAGAAGGCGAAAGATGAGAGCGAAAATTCGGCTTAAGACGATAGACTAAACGGCACACCAAGCTCTGAATCTAAGTTCATCCTTTTGTTATTTGTCCAATTGGCGTGTCTTATTATTCTTCTATTTCCTTCTCATCATTTCCCGCCATTTTGACAATTTTTTAGAAAAAAGTAAGAAATTTGGCGCCTTCAAATTGCATAACTATATAATTTATAAAATCGGGAAAAATTTAAAAAAAAATAAGGAATATAAAGGAAATAAGCCGAGAAAGATTGTAATTCATCACTTTGTGTCCATAACCATATGCCAATTCAATAATAACCATGAAAATGCCGAAAAAAAGAATTTAGGAAGAGGGGTCACTTAAAAGGGTAATAATAAAAAGGGGGAGGATTGTAGATGAACAAAAAAGATAAAAAGAATTTTTCTAAAATTTCTAAAAAGAAGACCCCTCAAAGATTTTTTTATTACTTTTTCTGCTTCTTGAAAAAACAAGTGTAACACTTGGCCTATTATTAATCCGATTGTTGCTTGTCTGCTCTTTAGAAAAGAAGCAACAATAAGTCTATTATACAAACAATTATTACCAGCATTTTTTACTCTTTTTCTCATCGTCTCACTAGTACTTTTAGAAGCTATTATAATTAATTTACATCTTTCCGGAAGCAGACATAAAACTTCCGGAAAGTTTATTTTTTTTAATAAAAAAATGCTCTATTTCCGGTTTTGCAACCGGATAACTTTCTCTCTCTCTTTTACTCTCTTCTATTTTTACTTTAGCACAATATTCGCGCTCTCTTTTTCACACTCATTTTCATTCTCACAAAATTTATCTAGACTTGAGAGAAGGGGGAGAGGGAGAGGAATAAAACCGGTCACCTCTCATTTTCTTTGTTTGGCCAATCGCTCTTTCATTATATAGCTCATCCGCAATCTTCACCCTTTAAAAAAACTATATAACGGCTTAGTCAACATTAAGTATATAACAAAGAGACTAAAAAATATACAAAAATGTTACTCATTCTTTACCCTCATTCTTGTATATATTGATCTACAATTGTTGTATTTTTTTGACTTGATCACACAAAAAATTATTTTATTTTCTTCGAAAAAATAAGTGTATTATTAACGTGAAGAGACACAACAACAAAATATATAAAATATTGGAAGCAGACATAGAAAGTTTCCGGAAAGTTTCAGCAGAAATAGTTAGAGAAAAGATGAGCGACAGAATTATTTCTAGACAACATTTCCGGAAAAATATAGCATAACTTTAAAGTGAGAGAAAAGCTTCCGGAATACTACTACTTTGCTTTAAAGGCAGACAACATTTCCGGAAAAATCACCACCTTTAATGAGAGAAAAGTTTTCCGGAAAAACACTACACTACTTTAAAGATAGACACAACTTTTCCGGAATGAGAAACAACATTATTAAAAGGATAGACAACACTTCCGGAAAGAAAGACTACACTTTTAGAGCGTTAAAGAAAGCTTCTATAATTAATGAGCTTTCCGGAAGCAGAAATAAACCTTCCGGAATTATCACTAGAACATTAATTTTTACTCTTTTTCTCTTCCAAACAAATGCCCAGTGTCCAACATTACAATCCCCATGTAGATGTGCCCCTTCAATATACGAACCGATAGCTATTATTTGTGAAAAGGCTGGCAGTTTAGAAAATGCTTTAAGGGCAGCTCAACCTGCCAAACATTTATCAATTGATTCTTTGAGTATTTTGGATACTGCATTGCCTTCTTTACCTTCAAATGCTTTTTATGGGTGGACTGTATGTTTTTTTTAGATTTTTTTAATTAAAAAAAATTTTTTTAAAAAGATTCTTCGTCTTGTATTAAATCGAAATACTCTTTCACATGTATTGGATGGAGCTTTTAATGGTAATTTGATTGATTCCCTTGTAGAGTTGGACTTGTCAGAAAATTCTCTTTCACAGATTGGGACACAGGTGTTATTTATGTTTTAAATATAGTAAATGTTCTAATAGAAACCCATCTCTAATAGAAGCCCATCTCCACTAGAAACTCATTTGTAATGGGATCCCATCTCCAATAAACGCCCATGCCGTATAATCAGATACTCAATGGAACCCCAAAAAATAAACGTCCAGGGCTTCTGTTAAAACATTTTTTAAATATGTTTTTAAAAATTTATTTCAAGTTCGGCGGCCTTTCCCAACTTCGAAATCTTCGAAAACTTTATCTAAATAAAAATGGAATTTCTCAGTTACCAACAAATTTGTTTGCAGAATTTTTAAGCAGAGAAACTTTATTAAAATTAGAATTGAGAGCAAATCATTTAACAGACCAATCATTTGGAACAACTTTGCAGCAAAATAATGAAGGGACAAGTGTTTTTTCACCTTTAAAAAATTTACAAGAATTAAGTTTGGAAACAAATCAGTTAACAATGATACCAAGCAGTGCTTTATCTGTTCAGAAAGAAACACTTAAAAATTTAAATTTGGGATTAAATATGATAAGGAATTTATTTTTTATTTATTAGAGAGGGGGTGTTAAAAGGAAGTAACGGGTTATCCAATACCCAAAATGAGGACTTTTTTAAATCCGGAATCCGATACCCGCCCCGAGAAATTTTTGAAACTCGACTCGAGGACCGACTTCCTCCCCCCCTAATCTCCCAACTTCCCCTACCCTCAGACTTTTTTAGACCCAAACGCGACTCGACTTTATTTTCTCAACCTGTGACATCCCTGGTTGTTTTTGGTCGAGAATTTTAGGGATGCTATTGTCTAAATAGATCTAAAAAAATACGTGGAATAGGGTTGTCGATTCTGGACCGAACCGAACCTAAGAACTGAGGATTTTTCGGGTCGGTTCTTCAGTTAGATTCTCCAAAACCGACAAACCTAACGTGGAATGTCCGCAAAAATGATCCGCAAATTTCTTTTTTAATCCAACAAACTTTTTCTTTTTAAATTTTTTTAAATAAATCTTTTTTTTTTAGATAAAAGACGTGCCTATTAGTGCATTAAACTTTCCTCAGGTATTCTAAAAAAATTTTCCAATTAATTTTTTATTTTTTTCAGTTAAGTTCTTTATCACTTGAATTCAATGGTTTATCAGTTATTGTCCCCCAAGCATTTCAACACGTTCCAAAACTTGAATATCTTTATTTGACTGGAAATAAATTTCCTGCTTGGTCGTCAGAAATGTTTAGGTTTTAATTTTTAAATTATTTTTTGTTGTCCGCAAATACTTGCGGACAAAAATTTTTGTCCGCAAAAATTTTTTTCAAAAATTAAAAAAAATTTTTTTAAAGATTTATTCCCGAATTAAAAACTCTTGGAATTGGAGAGACCCCAATTTCTGTAATTCCTACAAATGCTTTTGTACATACTCCAAATTTGATGCGGTTGGAAATGTCTGAAGCAGCTGTGGTTTCTTTTAAATTTTTTAAAAAATAAATTTAAAAAAATTTTTTTAGGACACAATAGAGCCTGGAGCATTTCAAAGAACTCCAATAATTCAAGCAATTGTATTAAACAAAAATAGATTGACCAGGTTTTTTTAAATTGTGAATTGGGTTGTCGATATTTAGCCGTCCCGATTCCCGAAAATCGGGAATTCCCGACGTTTTTTGGGTCGAGAATCCCGATTCCCGAGAATTGGGAACTGAATTTTTATGTCGGCTAGATCCCTGGTATTTAGAGAATCTTTGGATATCCTTGAACCGAGCAGAAGAATCAAGAATTTATCGGTTCCGAACCGACAACCCTTAATTGCGTATAATTTTTTAAATTTAAATTTTAAAGAATTCGTAGTGACATGTTCCAAGGCCTTCAGGAATTGTATTCATTGGATTTACAAGGAAATAGATTAGAACAAGTTGAGAATAAAGCTTTTGCTAATTTACCAGCGCTTAGACATTTGGATATTAGGTTTAATTTTTAAAATTTTATTTTTTCCTTAAATATTCTAATGAAGTCCTGTGCATTTTTTAGTGGTCCTCTAATAGGGAATGGGCTTCCATTAAAGCCCGGGGCAGCCTGGCTTCTATTAGAAATGGGGGCTTCTATTGGAGATAGGGCCTCGTTGAGCTCTTTTTTGAGAGGGCCTTCTATTGGAGAGGGGCTTCTATTAGAATAAGAACATTTAGGGCTTTTTATCACCTTATTTTCTAGTTATAATCTTCTTCAAACTTTACCTATGGATACTTTTGAGGGAACTTTTGAACCTACAAGTGATGATAGACGTGTAATTTATGCTTGCGGTATGCTTCTTTTTGAATTAATAAAACCCAAAAAAAATTTTTTAAAGAAAATCCTTGGCTTTGTGATTCCAAATTAGAATGGTTTAGGCAAATGTTACGCGACAATTTGGATATTGATATAGGTTTGGGGGGTTTATTTGGAATTTTTTTGATTTTTTAAAGATAAACCAGGATGTGTAGCTGCTTGTGGACCCAGTCCAACTAATTGCCCTCCAGAAGGAACTCCTCTCAGGGCATTAGATTTTTGCCCATCACAAGAAGGGACCGTCGAGCCTATGCCTCTTGTCGGAACAGCACTTTCGCTTGTTGGATGGATTATTTTAGGTTTTGTTTTTTAATTTTTAGTGGTTGGACACGACCGGTTAAATTTACCCTTTGAGAGCTCAAAATCTCTTATTCGTCTCCATTTGACCTTTCACATTTAAAAATTAACAGGTCGTGTCGAACTCTACTGTTGAGGGTTAATTTTCCTTTTTTTAAAGTAACCATAATGACTGTGCTTGTAATCTCCATCTGTTTAATGGCTTTAATTCGTTATGGAATGAGCCATAGAAGAAAGAAAATTAAAGATGCAGAAATTGAAGATGAACAAAGAATAATGTCTTCGGCATCTGCGGGTATCCAAATTATTTAAGTAATTCTATATAATTTAGTTATGAAGAATACAAGATTAACTGTTTAACTATTTTCATTTAAAGTTTTTTTTATTGGTTTCCCGGTGTAAGCAGTTAAGGTGTAGTGGTATAGGTGTAGGTTCACCCTTTTACCTATTAAGGTTCGAATCCTCTCAGGTCCCTTTTGCTTCCTTTTTATCTTTATTAATTTTTAGCTTCTAAAAATTTTTAAATAATTTTTTTTTCAATTACCCAGAATTTTATAAATTTGTAAAATTAAAGTACATAAAAATTCTAAACTTTCAATTTTTAGCCGCTTCCGCCTACCACGGTTCTACTCTGCCTAGAAATACATATCATCCTTCTACTGTTTATGGTTCTCCAGCTGGCATAGATTTAGATTTACCTCCAGCGCATAATTTGGAAGAACGACACCATCATTATTTTCTTTAAATATTTTCCTCATTTTCTTTAGCTTTTTTGTGTATTGTTTTAAAAATTAAGAATTTTAAAAATAAACATTAAGGCAATTTAATCATTTTAATTTATTTAAAGTTTAATAAATTATTTAAGTGAATAATAGGATTAAAAAGATGCCTAAATTCTTTTTAAAAAAATTTTCAAAAAAATATATACATTCTAATTGTAAGGCTATAAAAATAACAAGTTTTAAAGGAATGCCAAATTACACAACTACAAGAACAAATTTGTGTGTAGTTGTATAAAAATTAAATTTACATATAATTGTTTAATTTAAGCGCAAGTCTCGGTTCTTATTAAAATTGATGTCAAAAAAATTGAGGAAAAAAAATATTTTTTTGGAATTTTTTCTAGAAACGGAATAGCTTTGTAGAACCGAGACTTTTTGCTACTTGAAAAAAATTGTAAAAAAATTTAAGTGAATAAAATTGGCAAGACACAAAAAAGAGAAGAAAAAAAGGTTTAAGTATATAAACAACCTGAGAAAATTAAAAAGAAAAACAAGAAAATTTAAAAAATAAAAATCTCAAAAAAAGGGGAAGATTAAAAAAAAAGAAAGGAGAACAACCAATTTAAAAGAATTGTTAGAGACGCCCAAGTCCAAAAAAAGAAGGGAAAAGACTAATAAACCCGGGCTCAAAAAGACAAACCCCCCTTCCTCCCTCCTCAAAAAAATCTTTTTTAAGTTAAATCAAAGACTCCGGACGTCCCTAAAAAATTTTTAAAATTAAAACAAAAAATAAAACCTTGTTAAAATTTGAGAGAGAAAAAAATTGGTTGCCAATAAAAGAAGACAAGATGAAGAATAAAAAAAATCTTTTTAATTTAAATTAATGTTATTTGCCTTCAATTGTAGTTGTTGATTGTTCACCATTTCCATCAGATTTTTGCTCATCACAAAGGGTTGTTGTTGCTGTTGTTGGTATTGCTATTGTTGTTGATGAACCCTTCTTTTTAATATTTTCCTAGAAAAAAATTTGTTTTAAAAATTTTTGGGAATTTGTCCGCAAGTTGGGTTGCGGACATTTTTTGCGGATTGTCCGCAAATTTTTGCGGACAAAAAAATTTTTTCTAGACAAAATTTCAAAACGACATAAAAACCTCTTTTCTATTATCATTTCCATCAATAGAAACTGATTTTGGATGCATCATAAATCGACGTGTTAAACGATGTAAACGACGTGTTGTTGGTGTTGTTGCAGTTGCAGGCAATGTTTGGGAAGTAGAACCATACAAAGTTTGAATTCCAGGATCGCCAGGAATATTTGAGGTTGGTGATAAATTATTACAAGAATTGCTGGATTCTCGTCTTCCTTCAAAAAAAAATTTTTTAATTTGCGGACAATTTTTTGTCCGCAAATTTCTTGCGGACATAAAAAACTAGAAAAATTTTTTTAAAAATAAAAACTTTTTTCGGCATGCTTTCTATGTCTATAATGTTGATATAATTGACGCCACTTTTCTGCAGCTTCAGCAGTCATTTTTGGTGCAGTCTGTCCTAACCGACGACACATCAAGTTTTCATGAAGATTACGACAAACCTTTTAATAAAAAATTTGATTTTTCTGATTTAATATTTGAGTTAATAAAGGATCCTAGGCTTTAAAAAAATTTTCTAAAATTTTTATGCCAACTTTTATGAAGGGGAAAAACGTTTGAACACCTCCGGGGTCGAACCCACAAAAACTCTACTAAAATACGAGCACCCTAACCACTACACCACCAACTAATTAATTTTATTCCATTATTTTTCTCAATTTATTTAATCAACAAAATTAAATAACCTTATAATGTATTCCAATTAATTCAACACCTCTAACCCACAAAATATATCCACGACTTATTGGACGTTTTTGAATTACACCAAAATTTGTTTGTTGATTTTTTGAAGGTTTTCGTTTGACAGGAATTCCTCTATAAAAAGTTAACCATTTTGGAAGTATTTTCTTTGACGGAATTGATGCAACAATCTTTAAAAAACAAAAAATTTGAAGGAGAAAACAGAGGAAAAAGTGAAGGAATTTTCTAAAAAAAAATTTTTTAAGAATTTTTAGAGTAATTTTAAAATATTTTATAAAGCTTTTAGTTCGAAAAAAACTTCGAAAAATTTTTTAAATTAACATCTTGGGCAAAAAAAATTTTTTTCGAATGGACTGATTGGGACAAAATGTCATCTCAAAAAAAATTTAAAAACCTGTCCGAGTAGTAATTCAAAAACGCCTAATCCAAAACAAAACATCCATTGACTAAAAATAGAAAATTTATTTAAGAAAAATTTTTGACTGAAAAAATAAACCTAAACGTTAGAGGAGCAGTTGAAAACCATTTTCCACCAAATTGAACAATTAAAAGTTGTGCAATAAATGTAGATGTCCAAATAATACAAAACATTCGATTAGACAAAAGATGCTGAAGAAAAAATAATTTTGGATAAATGTACTTTAAAAATTTTTTGCGGACAAAATTTGCGGACAAAAAAAATTTTGCGGGCAAAAATTTGCGGACATTTTCTCCCTCAAAATTTTTTAAATAATTTCGTGGGATCAAATGTCACCTCTTTAAAAATTAACAAAAAAAACCTTAAAAACGTTTCTTTCTCCATGTACTTTTCTTGAATTAATTTCATTAAATAGCGTCATCATAACAAAAGTATTAAATATAATAGTAAAATGTTCTGAAGGCGGAGCAAAAAGAGGAGCACCAATGCCAGAAGAAATTGAAAATAATTGAGGCCCTTGAAAGACGAGGAGTATTAAAATTGTTAATTGAAAGAGTGCATGACATCCAATATTTTTTATCTTTAAAAAATAAATTAATAAAAATTTTATTGCGGACAAAATTTGCGGACAAAATCTCCCTAAAAAATTTCAAAAAAATTTTTCGAAATTTTGGGACAAACTGTCACCTCAAAAAAATTCACATAAAGACACTTGATACATAATGTAAAAATTATTTCTTAATTTCTAGGACAAAATGTCACCTCAAAAAATCTTTTGAAATTTTGGGACAAACTGTCACCACCGAAAAAAAGTTTCAAAAAATTTCAATTCAAAAAATTAAATACCATAGTACGAGAAATCAAAGGTTTTTTGCGTCCATAAGGTTTTCGTTGTAATAATTCTTCTGTTGGCATTTCTGTTGCTAAAGCTAAAGAGGCTAAAGTGTCCATAATTAAATTCTAAAAATAGAGAAAATTACAAGAAAAAATATTTTTTTCAAATTTACCAGCCACAGCATATGAACAGCTTTTAATGGAGAATCACCAATAGTACAGGCACAAATAAATGCTGTTAATACGGCTACCTTTAAAAAATATTTAAAAAAATTTATTAAAAAAATAATTTTGCGGACAATAAAATTAAAAATTAAAAAATAAACTAACCATATTCACAGTTAATTGAAATTGTAAAAATTTTGATATGGAATCATAAACATTTCTGCCCCACATTACTGCCTGAAAAAAATTAGAATTATTATATAAAGGTGTCCATTATTTAAAAAAAATTTTTGCGGACAAATTTTGCGGACATTCTCGACAAAAAAAATTTTTTTTACTTTTTGCCGACAACCCACGAACCTTTTCTTTACAAAAAATATAAAAAATTAAAAAGTACCTTAACAATTGAAGTAAAATTATCATCAGTCAAAATAATATCAGAAGCTTCTTTAGCCACATCTGTCCCAGCAATACCCATAGCAAAGCCAACATCTGCTTTTTTAAGTGCAGGTCCATCGTTGGTTCCATCACCGGTTACTGCTACAATTTCTCTTTAAAATTTGCAAAAATTAAATTAAAAAAATTTTTTTTAAAAAAAACCTTTGCGGATTTAATTTACTATCAATTATTCCTTTAACTAAAATATATTTGTCGGTAGGTTGTGCTCTAGCCAAAACACGAAGACGAGGCCAAATCTTTAAAAAAATTATTTTTTTTTAATTTTTAAAAGTTCTTTAAATATTAAAAAAACTTTTTTTGGTTTTTAAATCAAAGGAGAAAAGATTAAACACAAAGAGGATTCGAACCTGCGACCAAAAATTTTCAAGTCAAACACACTACCAACTGACCCACAGACTAACTGCCTTACAAAATGCTTTTTTCATTAGTTAATTAATCCAAAAATTACAAAAATTATTTTCGAATTTAAATCATGTGCCAGTCCCAATTTCTAAAAATATTTAAAAAAATAAAAAAAATACCAAATCAAATTTAGCTTGATCTACTTTATCATTTTCATCTTTAATTTGTTTATTAAATTCTTTTCCATCAAGTACAAGAAAATCTTCTCCAGGCGAAATAATACCACAAATTATAGCTATTGCTCGAGCAGTCATTACATTATCTCCAGTAACCATTCTTACAGTTATTCCAGCTCTTTTACATTTTGCAATAGCTGCGGGGACTTCATCACGGACCTTTGAGAAAAAGAAAAAAATTTTAGAAAATTTTTTTTGAAAAAAATTACTGGATCTTGAATACCACAAATTGCCAATCCAACAAGTTGTGAAGCTATTTCTTGCTCATTTTCCCAACAAATGTCTTCTTCAGAATGAATTTGGATCTGTAAAAAACGAAAAATATTAAATTTACAAAACTAGGATATTAGGGAAGGTTTAACTCGAAGAGCTTTGGATCCGGAGACATTATTTGATAAAGGTCGATGCAACAACACGCCGAATATACCCCCAGTACTGCTTGGAGTCGGAAAGCACTAATGGAGATAGAAATTTTGAATTGGGCGGAGGTTGAGGATTTTTCAAAAAAAAAGACATGCAAATGCTGTCAATAAGGTCGGAACCCACCAGATTGTTAAAAAAAATTTTTTTCCTAAACAAAACATGTTGTTATGTCATGTTCCTCCTCCAAAAAACCCAAAAAACTCAACCCAATTGAAAAATAATATTTAAAAAAATCTTACTTCAGACTCTGTAGCACTTCTAACACTATCCAAAATATAATCTTTATAAGCTATAGT